CGCAAATCAAAAAATAAATATATTTGAAATGCTTCTAATTTTACATTTACTGCCAGTTCTCAAATCAAGGGTGTAGAACGGAAGAGAAGAACTGGCAATAAACTCTTCGCTGATATATTTCTTATCAATACTATTTATCTAGCTACGGGTGAAAATTTTGGTAGATTAAGAAAATGGGATTGGTCGTAGAAGGGTGAACAGAATTAACTATTAATGCCAGATTATAGAAGTAGTGTACGTTTTCTCAGAACGAGTATACACAAAAAAATCACGAGAAACGCTAAGTCGTTTCGGAGGAATTTGGTTACAAACACGACAATAGATTAATTTTGCTCATTTTATGCAAAATGCAACCAAAACCCTCAAGCCTGCAGAGGCTACACCAAACATTATATTTAAAAAATAATCGATCAATGTTTATGAAATACTTCAATACTTATTAAAATGAATGAAGGCGAGCGAAAAACAACATATTTGAATTTAAAAGAGGGTCACAAAGGTGTAAATTAACGTATAATAGTTAACAGGAATTTCAGTACCTACATATAAGATTTTAATTGTAAATAAGAGTTCCATATACTTGTTACCTAAGCTACCTCGGTATGAAGTAATCAAATGTATTCTAGTTCAGGCTAACACCATTATTGTACATTGGAAAATACACCTTATAAAAATAAAATAAAGGCGATAATTGTTAGTATATTGTCGGTAGACTCCTAGAATAAATTAAAATAGATTTAAAGACGGAGGAGTTATGACATCGAGGTCCAGGATTTAATTCTCAGCAATAATTGTTTCTTGTTACATAAAACAGATCAATGAAACAAACAAGAGAAATACGGGCTTAAACAGCAACGCATTGAATTGTTAATATGTGATATATTGCAATAAATAATATTAAAGACGCAACGAAAGTACCTAAAAGTTAATATGGAGATGGTATGTATGGTAATTTCAACACCAGCTCTTACCGGGGGTGTAACTCAGTGGTAGAGTGTCTGCTTCGCATGCTGAAAGTCCTGGGTTCAAATCCCAGCACCTCCATAGGATTCGTTTTTATTATTTTAATTACATAAATAATCATAAGCATTTTATTTTTATTATTATATAACAAGCAATATTTATTTTATTCCTTCTAAGTTTGTATGGGTTCCAACATACTAATCCACAAGAAACTGTTTTATTTTGAAAGAATTTAAAAATAATTGTTTACCTTTATGTTTTTTTAATATAGAGCTTTTCATTTATTATTATATTTTAAAATATATTTGTCTAGTAAGTTATTCTATTATTGTGACAATTTTGGACTAAACTTGTCCGGAGTTAGTAGTTTCGAAGACATGTTAGAAAAAACCTTTTCAGGTTACTCCAGAATATTCCAAAAGCGAATAGAGAATAGTCGGAAATAGTAGTTGTCAAGTCAATGAACCACACACTTTTACTTCATTGCGGCATTGTTATGATAACTGGTGCCATATATTGCCAACTTACAAAAACAGTTCATTTGTTAAAGCGACATCTAACTATTACTTTGTGTACTACCAAGAATTGTAAGTTCATTGAAAGTTGCGCTTATTGTGGTGAACAGCAAATTTTTTATTTATTACCCTAAACACTTGTCGATAAATTATTTTTAAAGTCTTAAACCATTTAGATTTGTATGTTTATGTATAAGCTTAAATACTTGCAGCGTCGAAAAGGTAAATAACACACAAACATGTATTGTTAATATTTAATGAAAATTCAACTAAACGTATAAATCTTATTTATACTTACAATAAACAGTAAGTGGGTAAATATTTACATTTGGCTTGAAGACCAATATTCATACACAATGTCTCCACAAAATTACGCTAACAAAATATGGGTTGCCGTTAAGACCCCTGACGCGAGCGATGTTGGGATATTCAAAAGCAAATTACTTTCGGATAACAAATGGTAGGTACTCTTAGCACAAACTTTTCGATAGTTTTGGCAAGTGACAGTTGATAATATCTGAAACTTGATACAAATTGATTACCAAACAGTTGATAATATAGTTTATATTAAAATTCGAAAGATGTAAGTTCGCGCTTCTTTGGTAGTTCCAAAAACGCCCGCCAAGCGCTGCTCAAGTTTTTCACACATTTATTGTTAACATTCTATTACACTTATGAAATGTATTGTTCGTGCTAAGGGTGCAGGTACCTAAAAAAACTTCGCTGACTCATTCTTTTTACATTTTAATGTTCACCCATGACAAGTATTAAAAATTTAATTAAAGGTAGCAGCGCGCGTGATCTTGAAATGTGTGAACAATAAATTTAAATATTGCAAATCTCCGCTGACCGTAAAAGCTCTTTGGTACCTATTAAAACTCAAAAGAGTTATTAGTATGTTACTTTAAGTTGCAAAGGCTTGTATATGTTTTAAATATGCAAAAATATGACCCAAACATCTTGCTATGGTCGCGATATAACGATTATCCTTGTATATATTATTATCATATTGTATAGATAACGCAGTCTTACACCGGTCCGCGTCCGCCGCTAGTCAGAGCTACGTCTAGGATACAGTTCACTATAATCTATCAACGTCTATCATAGTGGCTTTGAAAATACCAAGAAACGGAAGGAAGACATCACCATTTGCCTAGATACCAAATAGCATTACAAATTAATTTGGTAATTTAAGGCGCGTAATCTAGAACGTCAATCAAAATTTAGATCCAACAGCTGTCAAACCATTTTTTTTCGACCCAAATTTCACAACAAATGCCTATTCTTTACTGGCAACAAATCACCGCATAGACTAGTAACACATAATGGTGTAAAATAAGCTATTTTTAATGAATGCTGTTGTTTTATTAATTTAAAGTGCGTTCTTGCAAAACCCCGTTTCTTGGATTTCAGGCTCACAGTTCTACAATCTACCAATAAAATGATGCTACAAGTAGAATAAAGGTGGCTCCGCCTATATACGAAACGATAACAATCCTAGAAACTACACGCTTTTATCGGCAAATAAACCTTTATAGGTAAAAACCCATTAAATACAATGAAACACATCAATGCACACGTTATTATATAGATAATAGGCATAGGAACTTTACACAGATTAAACATGTCCAATAATTGATAATTTATTTGTCTATGTCGTGGCCAGGGGCTTCAGACAAAATCAACTTACGACAGGCGTGATCCACCAAACGAATTTGTATGAAATTAGTCATGTGACAAAGCGTGAGCTAATGTCATTCCCATACAAATTCCTTTAGCGTTACTGGGTCACGCTTGTCGATTATGTCTCAAGCCCATGATCGTAAATTTGATAATTCTGTGAATTGCCATATCATAAAATCGTTGTCCACATAAAGTGATAAATTCTACGATCGAGCTACGACATACTATATGTATATGATAAGTAACCAAAAGGAAAAGTAGCATTTGCCGATAAGAGCTTACAAGATTAAAAATATCATGACTAGACTAGAAAGTTGGAGGGATTTGTCAAGGAAAGTATGGAAGAACTACAAAACCACACTTGCACTTAGGGTAATCAAGGTATCTAAATATGGTAACACGTTTAAATAGTGAAATATATGTAGTGATACCTACAATCCGCGGCTACCATCAGTCTGATGACGCCTCTTGCCCGTTTGCCCCCTGTTCTATAAAAAGAGTATCCTTAACGAAGGATCACCTCTCCACATTTGTTACGGAGAGAAAAATTTATCACATTTTTATAGCAGAGCAAGACCGCAAGGTCTAACATTCAAAAGCTATCCGAACTTTTGGAATTGTTTTTAATTAAATATGTCATATTTTAACAGCAAAACATAATCTGTGCCCCCAAATATTATAAATTATTATCTAAGCCGTTATTTTTTATAAAAGTCATTTGGTGGTAAATATATCTTGTTCTTGCATTTCGAATTAATTTATTCTTAGTGTCAGAATGTTATTGAAGTCACAATAAATTAATATTCGTATGTCCCACATGTGTGTGTAAATTAAATGCAACATGCAACTGATAATTTTGTAGCAAATATTAACTAACTTAAAAGCGAATCTCTCTCTGTGGATGGCCAAAGACATAACCAACAACAAATTCTAACAAAACAACACAAATATTTTATTAAAACATTAATAAAAAATAACAAACATAATAAAATTATTTAACCCACATAATGGGGAATAATTTCCTAATTTGTACCTTACCCTACAAACAATTATTTATTAGCGTCCTACTAAGAAGAAAGAACATTAATAACCAACATGTCTAATGACTAATGAGACGTAATAACACATTTTCTAACAAATGACCCTAAATGAACAAAAAAATACACACTAAATAAAAAACAAACATAAGAAATTAATTCGGAAAAACAAGCTAAAGAGTTATAATGAACAAAATAATAAATGACTAACAATAGTAGAACTTTTGTCTGTTCATTCAACGGACAATAAAAATGGTCCGTTAAGCTATGTAGTAATGTTATACAGGAAATCATATGTGCCCTTTTCAGAAGATTAGTCCTAGCTGGGCACATGAAGTAATGGCAGACGATGTCGCCTTCTGACGTACCCATCAGGCACATTAAAGCTAAGGCACTTTAGTACTGCCGAATTGGTGTCCTTCTCATGTAATTTTTTTATTAAGTACATCGCAAACGCGATTCTCGGCGTACTCTAAGCTCGTTGTAGTCCACAGAACCAATAATAAATAAGGTTTGGGCTATGTAAACATATGCACAAAGTTAATATTTTACATTCACCAAGGTTAAATTTCTTTGACGTTCTTTTGTTTTGTTTTTACCATTTTTTATAAGCACGAAGGAGGTATTTCACGTGTGAATAAAATGGTAAATATCAAATAAACCTATGAATTTCAAGATTTCCAATAAAAAAGACAGAAACGTTTACTTTGATACCTTGGAAATTATCCCGCTAAATGCAAGTGACGCAACTACGTGGATATGTGAACAAAAATTAGACTAATTTGGCAAGGAATAACAATGACTATAGGGAGTCTAGCCGTGTTCTTTGTACCGCCAACAGGGCGGACTGTTGTTGAAGACTCTTACGCAGGCCCTCTAAGGTTTGTAATACCTGCAATATGTCATTGAATTAGCATAAAAATTAAGATACTTTTATTTTAAAATTGTATTGTGTAAAAACTTTTTTCCTAATCTCCTCTTTTTGCTTATATTTTTCAAAATGCTTGAAGCTGCAATCATGACATCTTGAAGCAATTGAATAATAACACAAAACTCATATTCTCTATAAGCAATAAATGCTGTGGAATCACGTAGAGAATGCAGACCTAGAATCTCGGTTGGACCAGAAATCCTTAATACAAATATTTCACTTCGATATCGCTAACAGCCCGATCCTCTGTCCCAACAAAAACTCAGACTCACCTCTTCCCTTGCGTACATCTTCCTCTTGGGCGGCTCGGAGTGCGGCCGGTCGGTTGGCGATGGCGGGTGAGTGACGCGGGGCGGGGGGGCTGCAAGGGGTGATCGGCGGGGTGCAGGGGACGAACGGCGAGGGGCTTCCGGGGAGTTGGCCCGGATGAAGTTTGTGATGTGAGTGCGCTCTGGACTACGCCGGGGACACTCCACCTTCAAGACAAAGGGCATGTATAGGTAGGCAAGCGTTGTGATGATAGGGTAGGAATCAGAGACGCAACTTAGTCCTAAGTATGACCCCCATATGTCAAATCCAATACTTTTTAGATATACATACTTAGCGCTAAGTCTCACTCTAAATTTGAGGGATTCTCAGAGCATGTAACTTGGCCAGATTTTGCAGACATTCCTTGTATGTACTAACGGAAACCTACAAACGACGCCTATAGCATTCAGAAACGAGACAGTGCTGAGTCGGACTCCCTTACGTCAAAATCAAAAATGTATTCGATTTTAACACATGGGAGCCATAGTTCGCACTAATTCCCGTTTCTGAAACTCACCCTTAAAACCCTGGCCAAATTATTTGCCCAATTATACGCCTCAATTAATGAATAATTTGATATTAGTTGCTAAGTAATATTATGGAGAATAGAAAAATATGAGAGCATGTTTACGAGAAAAGGAGTTAGAGTAGTTATTAATTATTTTTAATTAAAAATGTGTCGAAATGAATTATGAATGATTAGAATACAGGTTATTAAGGAGGTACGATAGGTAAACAAGCATTGGTCCCAAATTCTCAACTCAAAAACCATTTTAATTTCTTAAATATACGTCTCCTCAGGAATTTTGAGAGAGTCTTTATCGGGACTAACCTCGGTGGCTCTAAGTTCGACAACTCTCGGATTGTGCGGGGGTTCAATGGGGGCCCGGGACACGGTCACGAGGAGTTTCTCCGCTTCCCGGATGAGTTCCCGGTACTTCCTCTCCGCTTCCCTGTCCGCTTCTAGGAGAGGATCTCTCTCGCGGACGGGCGGAGCGGAGGGTGCGTGACGACGACGCATACGGGGAGGAGTCGCGCCTGGAATTATTGTTATCTTTTTAATGCTAAGACGAAACACTTCTTACAAATATAAGCTTAATAGAAAACATTTAATTTTAATTTTTTGTTAAAAACGTCGATATGTTTAGAATTACAGAAATATGTAATATATTTAAGATATGAATAATACACTTGCGTACAGATAAGTATTTAATTCTATAAATGTAATTTAGAAAAAATTAAACTGGCTTAAAGTCTGTCAACAGTATTTATTTAGGTATACAGTCCTCTCCAGAAATGACTCTATACCTCAAAAACTACTGAACCAGTTTTGATGAAATGTGCCCGAAGTTGGAATATACACCTAATTCAAGAAGAATCACCTATAGCCATGACTTAGTTACCGAGATATGTTTGTACGTACACGAAATTTAGCACACATACTTGGATGCCTAAATAGATCATCATGTATACCTACTCAAATATTATTAAATTCGAATAAAATCACATAATATGTAGAGTCAAACCCCCTTTTTTAAAGTCGATTAAAAATTAACTTATTATTATTGTTCTACCCTTACATATAAATTAAGCAAACCTGCTGATCGCGGCGGCCGCCTGGGCGGTCTCCGTCGTCTCGCTCTCCGTCTGCTCGGTGAGGCGGTGCTGTCCGCTTCATCTTCGTCCCCACCATCCAATCCAGTATCACCATCCGAATCCACATCCGCATCTGACAAGATTGCAGTCTCTTGACCACGTGGTTTTAGACCACGGAACTCTTCGTCGCTGGAAGCCCCACGGTAGTACGGCTGGCGGTAAGGCTCTGGGGATAAATGGGGGAATAGTGGGGAGACATGTGTGGAGATAGGTGTGGGGATATGTGCGGCGATAGATGTGGTGACCTGAAATAATTTTTAATGTGCTTTATTATTGTTCTAAATACATGTGAGCAGTCTGTCATCTCGTGACCCTCAACATCGAGGTGGTAGATTCGAACCCCTGCTGTACACTAATGGACTTCGTGCCAATATAATACTTGCTCGTACGGTGAAGATAAACATCGCGAGGAAACCGGCATGTCTTACTCAAAAAGTCACTGGCGTGTATCAGGCACAGAAGGCTGAACGTCTATTATAAAAACTATTTCATGAAACAGATACAGAAATGTCAGGCCAACTAAGGGTTTAAATACGTAGTTGGCAGATTCCTTGCAAATAATAATTTTGACCATAGGTTTGGGAAAGATATGAAAAAATAGGTACTTCCTTGCCCTATTCAAAGTATGTTATTGAGGTATTAAAAATACTTTATTTTAAGTAGTATGTACATATTATTTGTATATTTATTAATACTCTGCTCACAGATAAATACAGTACAATTTCAAAAGTTGTATTTAAATAAGCGATCTCTGCCAGTAATTCTTTTTTACCTATACATATGTTTGAAACTAACTAAAATATATTTCTAATTTGTGTTGGACTTGTTAGTTATTGTGTATATTATGTATCAGTATAAAGTTTTGATAAAAAACAGTAACCGCTTCATGAATTATTCATAAAAACTAACGCGATGTTGAAAAGAAACACAACACATATTTTAGTTTTTATGTATAAAATGTATGTACATAACATTACTTTTCAAACAGATAATTAACAAGATATTAATTATAATCACTTACAGTCCGTGTAAGTCGATTACATGAGGAAATAACCGTATTATTACAATATAATTTTATGTGGAACAAAAAACTATGTCAAGGGAGTGTTGACTTGTAAGAGGCGCAAAACTTGTAATTCTAAGCTTATCTACATCAATAAAATGTGTTACAGCATTTCCTTACCTTGTCTTGAACCTATGTCAGTTTTTATTGTAATTTCTCTTCGGGTGTTTGTGCATTCTAAACCGTACGTACCTTACTACATATAATAGTTATCTTCATGTACAATACTTCATAGAGTTATCTGACTTCTTGACTACTCTTTGAACTCTACAGCTTACACCAACCATACATACCGTAGGTGATTACTGATTAGTTTACGTATCGTAATGAAACGGTGACAACTGTTCTTTTCAGAACACACGACCGTTTCTTCTATTCTTATTGACATTGTTACTTTGTATAGTCGTGAATATTCTTTGTGTATGGGCATAGGTATATTTTACTATTAGAAATATTCACCGACTGGAAATACCTGTCAACATTATTTACTTACCATAAGTCAAAAACATTGAGCGTTGGGGAGTGTTGCGTTACAATAGACTACCACAAAATATAAAAAGTGCAGGCAGCCTGGCGATATTTAAACTTAAACTAAAAGACCATCTTCTGAGTGATCCTAATTACCTACGCAAATGACAGTCCACCCAAATTATACTTCGATGATTGATCCTTGACGCTTAAACACGACGTGATAAATTGTATTTTTAGTCTATAAGTCTCATGTAAGTGACCATTGTCTGTAATGAGAAAATAAATGTCTTTAAACCATAAGTCCCTACATTATACATATCCTCTCCAGAAATACGTGTAAACCCATATCTTAAAAACCACTCAACTGATTTGACTGAATAAGTTTCATAAAAAGTCGGAAATAAGTACCTAATTTAAATCAAGGATCATGTCAAACTATTAAGTTCCCAAATATTTTTGGACAAACATTTGAATGTAAGAAATTTCGTGAGTACCTTGGTCCATATTTAATATGCGAGTCTAGGGAATAAGGCGCGTGGTGTAGCATCGGTTGTTGGGGTATCTGCAACGACTGCTGGTGCAAGAGATGTGGCGGTTTCTTTCTTGGAGATGTAGCACCCATCCACGGGTTAGTGCGAATACGGCAACGGGGGCGAGGTGACGGTGTCGCGCATACTGGAGGAGACACTAGCCCTTCTGGGGGGAAATAACGCCCCGTTGTGCTGGAGCGGCGCTGGAATTACGAAAATGAATTATATGAATATTAAAACTGTATACACCTATACCAATACTATTTTTTCCCTCTTCGTATGATGACAAAAAATATTGCAAGGATATCGGCATGTCCTCTAACTTAAGGAAATTTAAAGAGGTACTGCTTGATCCGTGACTTTGAAACTTGTCTGGAACCTCAAGTTTATTAAATGACATTTTAATGATTCGCTATTTACTGTTCTGTAGTAATTTATTAAACTTTAGCAAAATAAATATTCCTCGCATTTAAATACGAGTAGGTATGTCTTCAAAAGCACAGATTATATTTATTTCGTAATCCTACAGCTACAAAAACAACAAAAAACAATTATGATAAAGATATACCCAAAGATGAAATACATAATATATACAAAAAGATTAAATCATTTACGAAAGGAAAAAAGCAATAAAAACTATTAAATACATTTAAATAAGTAATACCTAATTCGTCTGTGTTGTGTGATGGTATGCATTTGAGAGTGTGTATGTGGGGTGTGCTCATGATGCAGGTTATTTAACGCTATGGATATTCTTAATACTCCTTTTATGCATATTTAATACTTAGATGCAGTTCCATACACTACCTTCTAGTATTTGCATTGAACATATGGTTACCTAATCTTTCAATAAGGAAATAGCTTGTTTTTACCGATAGCTTTTTGCATATATTTTTTACTCATCATAGCCGTTGCCGCATCAACGAATATAATCAAGTGAAGACAAATACTTTTCGCATTCACTGTCACTAGATAATAAAAAAAAATTAAGCTTTCGGTGCCTATGTGTAAAATTGTTTATCTTGGTACTTCATCATAGGACTTTACTTTTATGTTTGAAATCTGAATAAGTCAATAATGTAAGCTAGCCCCCTATGAAGTAAGAGAGCCATTCAAAAATTGCGCTCGGACTCCCAAAAGGCAGCCGGGCGCGGGGATGGTTATAAACCTTTGGGTGTCAGCATCAGTGCTCTCACTTTACGATCACTGCGCACTATGCTCCCCAAGACAAGGAAGAGTGATTGAAATTTTGTGAGGTATATAAGTAAACTTGTCTTTGAACAACACTAGCGCGTTTTAATCTACGCTCACCGCCATCTATTGGCCCTTTTCCGAAATTATCATTGTGAATGTAGGAATTCTCCTTAACATTACAGGATTATAATTTTTACAAATCGGCTGGTATTTGTTTGACATTTCTTCCCTTCCCTTCTCTTTAGGTATAAAGGATATCCGATTATTACCCAGAAATACTTTTCATTACTAACATTCTAAATAGAAACACAATTGGAGGGTGAAAATAGCTTTTTTTTTAATTTTCGTCAACTGATTCGAGTCCTTACACTTGTTTTTTATCATTGTAATATTTATATTTGTCAATAAAAATCTGTAATCATTACATTCTACAACATTCAATAGATATATCATTAAATATTATTTGAAATATCTGAACAAAACACATTCATTTTCCTCTTTCAGTCAAAACAAACGAATACAAATTGAGTTACTCCTAGCGATAATAGACAATCTGCTTTATATAGGCGAGATAACAGCATCCCTTGACAGTTTGATCCGGTCTACTTAATTAATAATGAATGACATAAAACTAATGAATAATGTTAGAATATTTTGACATCTTTACAAAAGGAATACTTAACTTTATGTTAAATACAAACAATAGTATTTAAAATTATTATTTGAAAATTACGCTTAAGATTTTGTGTCTGTGTGATGTGTACTTTTAAAAGATTGTCAAATGTTTATTATTTGCTTGACTACTTCTGGGTTAAAGAAGATATAACCGGCTTAGTTCTGTTTTTAGTTCTTCTGTTTCCTCGATCTTTTAATAGGCAAGTAGGTGATCTGCCTTCTGTACCGATGCTCTTCAGGTCTTAGACGCTGATTTTCTCACAATGTTTTCCTTCAACGTAGAAAAGTTTACAACGTCTACGACTGAGTCATAGGATCAAAGAATTATAAACAAATTGCTAGCGTACTGTGAACATAAGTCCTACATTAGATAATGTTTAAAACTGTAACTGAACTTTAAATTAAGCAAAAAACATTAGTATTTTATGCTAGATTATAACTGTTTATTACATTTAGTTAGATGAGTAATATTATAGTAGAATTTGAAAAAAGAATTATGAAAAATTATCCATTTGGACTACATGCAAAAAGTGAATTTCTTAAATAAAGAAGCTACGGACTAGCTTCAAACATAAATAGGAACAAGAGTCTTTGAGTAGGTTGTAACTTAGGGGCAAGCAAGTGTTCATGATTGGTGATAAGACACAACCTCCATATTGTCTCGTAAAAGAGCAATGGTTCGTTCGCTGAAAACTATATTATTATGCGATTTATATTGTTTACATTTAGTGTTTAATTATTAATTAATATATTTTAGTCTCTGTTTATTTTTTAAAAATTGTTCTTATCTGTGAAGCCATTTAAGAGATTTGATCTAATATCAATCGTATTTTATTTATATGTGTCGTATTTGTCTATATAAATAAAAATGAATCGCTAAATATATTGCTAAGCACAAAACTTGAAGACGGCTGGACCAATTCGAGTAATTATTTTAAATGTATTCCTTGGACTCTGAGGAAGGTTTATGGAGAGAAAAATTGCACGGATAAACACTTCTTGCACTGTACCCATCATATTTATTTTTTTCCTTACTAGGGTAACCTGGAAGAGAACGCTTGTTAGCGATAAGGCTGCCCGTTGCATATAATTTTCATGTATTGTGTTATTTGTTTATCTATAAATGTAACGAAGTGTAAATATATAAATAAATAAAAAACTAAGCATTTTTGTAAAATCATATTAAGGCGAAACTAAGTACGCGGGGGCCAGTATAGAATAAATAATATATATGTAGGTTATTTTAGCTTTTAGTAACAAATATTTTCAGGCTGTAACTATATTATCCTGTATAGTACCCTTATCGAACGTTTTACATGCAGGAAACCAAGCTAATGGAATTTACTCCGACGTGACTGATGAACGTAAAATGGACAAACCCTACAATATCCATCACACGATAATCCACCCTATTTGCATTAACTAAAAGCTTTAAATTGCTCGAATTCGCAACATTAAACAGGGATTAGTTAACCCCCGCTGTTTTAACTTTAACAGCTGGAATTCAATTTTCCTAATTAGTTATGTAGGTACGAAACCGTACATAAATTATCAAGCTTGTATCGTATTATCGTGTGAGTTTTAAACTTTTAATTGACTTTCGTCGTAGGTTCGATCCCCAGCTGTGCACCAATGGACTTTCTTTCTATGTGCGCATTTAACATTCGCTCCAACGGTGAAGGAAAACATCGTGAGGGAACCGTCATGTCTTAGACCCAAAAAGTCGACGGCGTGTGACACTGGAGGCTGATCACCTACTTGCCTATTAGATTGAAAAATGATCATGAAACAGATTCAGAAATCTGAGGCCCAGACCTAAAGAGGTTGTAGTACTGATTTTTATAAAAAATTAAATACCTTTTAAAGAAAAATTGCGTCACGCTCGAACTAATAATTAAATTGCTTAAACGGTCGTTTCATAAAACTGTAAGTTCTTAACAGCACCCTCGTGTCGTCAAAATGGCAGTCAAAGGTGTTAGATAAAACTTCAATAGGGACTATTACACTCTCTAACGCCTTTAATCCCTTACGGCGGCGCACCTCACTCGGGACCGCATCACTTATTTCTATTTATGTCGCAGCCAACCCCTGTCATCTACCTGTCCTCGGATGAAAATAAAAGGGATGGGAACAGCGCATGCAAATGTCACCTCACTTGCTTTTGTTTACGCTCATCTTAGTCGCTTCACGTTAGATATCGTGGCCCGACACGTAAGCGACTGCGATATTAAACCTTTACAATAGTAATAGCGCATAACATAATGTAGACAAAACTGTTTTCACAAAGCATTCTAGTCAAAGCAAGAGGAGGAGGCTTGAAACAACTAAAGTATGTTATTACATTCCAGACCTCCGAACTTACCTTAGCGGGTTCATGGTATAAGTGAGTGGTGGGTGGCGTGGGTGGCGGCGGGGGAGCAACGAGCGGAGCGGCGAGCGATGTGGGCGGAGCGCCAGGTGACGTGCCGTCTGTGGAGTAGCCGGTGCTGTACGCGCTCTCGGGAGACGACAAGTGAGGAGGGGCAATAGGCCCCGTAGTAGGTGGTGTGGTCTGCCTCGCCTGCTTCTGTTTACGCTTCTTGGCCCGACCCAGCTGCGCCTCCATCCATGACTTGAGCCTAGCGCCCAGCATGCCGCCGCCGGCACCTGCTGTGCCAAATGAATAAGAATTCAGAGCTATACGTGTAAGTAGGATGAAAGCTTGAGCGCTTTGAATGTTTCTCTCTCAAAATTGTGCTTTTCATTATTTTTTGTTTTTCATATGGGGTTCTAGTTTCGTAATGCGGTACCTATACTAATTTGATTTTTTTTTATCTTTACAAAATCCATATTGTTTTGTCTAAGTTAATGATTCAAATATCAGGAATCTGAAAAAGACAAGACGAGCTATTCATTAAATTTTCGGTTCAAAGATACTTTATTTCTTAAAGAAATATATTCACTTACTGAGACAATTTAAATTTAGGTTAAATGTAAGTTGGTTGTGTATATCGTGGTATCAAATTATTAGAAAATATGCTATATAAAATAAAAATATTAGCGGCTCTGCAAATGTAATAATATAAACTATGTAACTTTGTGTAAAATTTATTCGCTAAAGTAAAGAAACAATTAGAATTACATTATTTTTTACAAAAATACAGGTAGATAGATATAGATCAATTTCTTAGACGCTTAACTTATATATACTATAGGTAAAAGTTTTAATACTTATAAATAAATATAAAAAAGGAACAATATAGTCGCGACGACATTCACAGAAATAATATATTCGTAGAGATCTGCGAATATAAAGGATTTAAAGAAACCCCCGGGTTAACCGTAAGACAAAGACGGCACAATTGTTTTGCCAACACGTTCCACAATCCAAAGCCCGCAGAGGAACGAGCGATATAAAATGTTTTATGTCACTTCGGCCCGCAGATGAATTGTCTAGTTGGAGGCACTTAACATCCGCCCATAAAGTTTAGTTTTATCGACTTCTACGTTCGTTCGCTTTCATCAATGTAGTGTGATTTCAGCGGGTGATAATATCAACGCTAGAGATCTCTTGGGTATGGATACCCTTGTTCTCTATAACCCTAAAGTATTTATTTATTTACTTCTTATTTCCTATTATGACAGTAACTTAATACTAATGTAATACAAGAAAATAAAAAACCTAAACCTTTTTATAACTATTATACCTAATTAGTACTATGCACTTCTTGTAAATTCAGCCAGTGTGCAACTAAATATATCCGTTTCACATGCAATAATATTCAGGGTGCGCAAGACGCGTAAATGGCGTGCAATATATCGTGGAGTTCATAAAAAATAAGCATTATGCGTCTAAGACATTTAAACCTTTGACTATACCACGAAGTGTGTATTGACAAGGTTATTGGAAATGATATCCTAAGACCAGTGAACTATACATGATGCGTAACTCTTGAACTACTTTTAAGTAATTTGAGTCACATCATTTTGGGCCATATATTAAGCATTTTTTTGTTTCCAGTTCAGCAATATTTGAGCATACAACAAAAGGGGTCACTCAGAAATAGGGTGACTAAAGCCTAAAGCGTTTCAGGTCATTAATATAGCATTCTCGTAGGGACTTTTAGTTAACTAGTCAAAACCTGACCTAAAAAATTACGCGAGACATGCTTTGAGTAAACTTGTGAATAATTAGAAATCTTACTGAGTTTGAAGCGCACACAGAAATGTGTTTAAAATTGTTAGTGTAATTGTAGTTTCTAAAGGGCTCTTCTTACGGCTTACGACTGCCAAGAAGTTCCGTTTTCGATTCTCTTTGACCTAAGAGTAAATTTTATTCATTTCCAACCGGAAATCAAACTGTACCTAGAGGGCTACATCACCGTGTTGTTTTACTAAAGTATAAAGTCCACACAACAAAAGATCTTTAAACTAAAGCTCTTTTATGTGAACGTACAAGCCTCAAATATGTATAATATTTTGCTATTATTTATTTGATGCGTGCGTGTGATTTATTACATTACCGTTGTATCTTAGTCATTTTACCTGAAATAAATATATGTTTATTTAATTTGCTTTTTAGCGCTTAATAATATTATATGAGTTGGAAGTGATTCCATATCTTATATATAATTAAAAAAGGATATTGTTCTATTAACTCTAAAAATATATAAGTACTCTTACGGGAGTTATAATTCAAAGATACAATTTATTTATTTGATATTTAATATTCCTACTACTAGTTAGTTTTATTAATTAAATTAAAATATTATTATTACAGCTAGTTACACGATAATAACCAAAAATACAAATTTGAATGCGATCACAAAACAGTTAATTGTTAATGTTATTGTGTATTATGAAAAATAATCTTACTCGAATGTATAGATACTATTTCGTTATTGTTAATACAATACATTTTCAATAAACAACTCGCCTAAATACACAACAATAAAAAGTTATTAATGATTATTTTTCAAATATATGTAATCGTTTATAACACAATGTATATAACATTTCCCTAATTCATCAGTGTGTAGGTCGTTAGCTATACTTCGCATTGTCCGCCCTCGCGGTTTCGTATTTCTGAAGGCGGACGTTAAAGCTCGCTTTGAGACCCTTCGTTTTTATCAAAGAAATGTCGAAGAAGATTGAGGATTGACGCAGCGCGTAATGACGCTAATTTACGTTCATTGGATAAAATTAAAGATGTTTTTAAAATGAAAACCAGACCTCGTTTAATGCTTATTTAGACTATTTAATGTCGATAATTTATGGAACAGCACTTTATAAAATAAAAGCTTTAAATCTTAGTTTTAATAATAACTTTAACATTCCCCCCTTATTCATAAAAAGCTTATTAATTGCGCTGCTTTACCTAATGTACTCTTTCATTTTGAATTGTGTTTATATTGTTATAAAAAAAAACAGAATGAAGAATTCTGAGAACTAGAAACAATTGACAGTCTGGCTTTGTAACACGAGAAATACTAAAAGTCCCATTATAGGTTTTTGATACACATATTGTTTATTCTGTACACCCTTTACTATATTGAGTGGCTGAGTAAAGACGAATAAAGCTTTGAGAAGGGAAACTTTCGAGTTTCAATATTAGCAATCCATTACCCAACCGCCGACATATACCAATACTGTGGGAAAGCCTATTTTATTATACCTATCCCATTGCTTTTTCTACGCCCAAAACTGATTATGTTAATATGGAATATTTGTCAATTTCTATACTGTGTTTTTGGTTAACTGTAAAATTATTAAAACTTGTGTGTTCGGATTTCGGCTGTGTATCAATTATTAGCATGTGCGAAATTAACACATGCTCACACGGAGAAAGAAAAACATAATAGAACCTCAAGCAGGCTTAAACGCGAAAATGGACGACGTGTATCAGGAACAGAGGGCTAGATCTACTTCGCCTACACAAATCGCAGAAATAAATATATCTATATCTATTTTATGCATGTGTGTATGATTGTCAATTCAAGCTTTGAATACGCAAAAGCTTGTGACATGTGAATTTGTTTATACTATTAAATTCAATATAAATGCAAAATTGTGATAATTGAACAGGTTTTAATTAAGATGTGTTTTCTCTTATGCTGCACCGTAAAGTGTACAAGGAGGAAGAAGTTTATTCTCTTACAGTGAGAGTATGAGAAAAAATTACATATATTAAAATATTTTTTATTATAAATAGTCTCTCCAGAAAGATATCATTTAACATTACGATCTAGCCTAACTTAAGACTAATAAGTAATTTAAAAATAACCTAATTTACTAAAAAGGATATTTAACATAAGAAAGTGTCTTACACTATTAAGGGGAACACACTCTGTTCTTGTGTACTATTTTTTTCCACTTACCACGTTTTAGACTAACGTGGACTCACAGTAATTCACTAGTACGAATGGTTTTGTCCTTTTCAATCTTCTCACTAGGCATGTGGTGTCAAGAAGTTTATAATAAAAACCATAAGAAGTAAAATATCACGCTTCCGTCGTACGCTGTCACCGAATCAAACTCCATGTACCACAAAACTTCGCAGGCGTATTCGGAATGAGTCCACTAGGTACTCCTATTTCCCGTATCTCATAAGGCAAAAGACTTGCTCAGATATAAGTTATAACTTTGCGACCAGTTCTGATTTCAGGTCCATATGATTAGTCTTCCGTGTGGTGTGGAATTGAAGTTAAATTGAATGCTTCTGTGAATTTGGTTTACGAAAGTATATTGAAATCATGGGAACAACTAAGCAAAATAAGATAAAAGATATCCCGATCATGTATTACATTGTCACGGAGACAACAGGAAAAAATACCTCACAAGTCATGACCCTAGGCTTGACTCGTAACAACTAGAGGAGACAGCGAGACTTAATTAATAAATCACGTATTCATTTATGCAAAAGTTTCCGTGCAATGTAAGGAAAAATCTGAAAGGTAGTCGCCGATATTTTATTACACTTTTTAACACAGCTTCAGTTTTATTTAATTCAAATTTAATTGTTTTTCGAATATTTACTAAAAATTTAATATATGCTTTATATATTTGTGATTCATACCTTTTGAAGGAATAGAGGAAGGAAGTTATTTATAAAACAACCTACTCACTTAAAATCAGCAATACTACTTCCTATTGTTAACGGCCAGACTGTACTCGACTAGAATCTAGATTCGTGAATGGGTGCCAAAAGCGGACCGAGTTATAAAAGCCATTGACCCCCCCAACTTAATGTCAAAGCTCCATTTAAATTATGTAAAATACTCCATTTAAAGTATGAAGAAGTACTCTAGGCTCTTAAACCTTGTAGTTTAAAGACTTTGTTCGGTATTATAATTTATAATAAATTGTAATTACCCTTTACTACTAATAAGCTAATGCTCTACGCCAGTCTACGTACTTGATTTAAAAAGCTTTCCCGTACCGGCTTTTGAAATAAAAGCTCGCAGCCTGCAAATAAAAATGTCTGCAGAAATGCCAGGCTAATTACACAATTTCTACGCGCTATGCTTGTATTAGCAACTTTATTGCAGATAATTTAAATGATTATTAAACAAATATTTTAACTATATATTGCATGAACTTTATATATCCTTATAAAAAAATAACGTAAGTTTTTTAATATTCGATCTTTTTGTGTACCGTAGTTATAATTAAATAAAGAGGGTGACCTAGCATCCCTTTCCGTACCCGACCTGCTTTTGTTACAGGATTAGACTAAATAGTTATAAGAGAATGCTAATATGCAGTCTTCAGCAACTTTGCAATGGCAACGTCGCAATGTTTATTATCCTATGAATATGTGTATGTACGTATCTACTAGGCATGGTAATAAATCGTTCACCTAGCGAGCTTTTAATCCGTATTCATACAACCCTTCAGGAATCTCTTGGAAACATCGCACAGGGGCAGTGGGCTATCGAACGGATGGCTCATTTGTTGGTGAGTCTCACGTGTAGAAAACAATCGTAAATTTGAATAAATAAATTAGATTTTATTCATTGAATATTTGGTTGAGGGGTCGTATGTGAAATTGGCGTTATAGTGATGTACTTACAGAGGCGCGTGGTGTAGATTTGGTGAATGAATGCGTGAAGATCGACGCATGCCGGCGACGCGGAGGGCGGCGACTCACGGCGCTCGCCGGCCAAGCACTGACGCACGCACGCGCCCGCCCGCCCTAGCCGGCTACAACGCTACGATGCTACGCGTTTAGCTACAACATCCGCAATCACAATATCATAATTTATTAAATGGCTTCTTTTTTTATATAAATTTTAAAAACAAACTGAGTTTCGACGCGGCTGATTACAAATGATAATTTCAATATTTTTAATGATTTCTAATTTCTTGTAATTATAGGTTTTTATTATATGTACGTATATATTATAATACGCCTATCCACTGAGAACAAGAGATTTTACAGTGAAGTACTTTCTATGTAGAAGTTGCGTTTGTAATAAGAAATCAAATAAACGTAAAAATATTTTCACAGTTGATATTTCGAATAAAATTGATGTTCCGTAATAGACCCACTGGGTATCAGTACTCATAATAGGTCCAGCGAGGCGGTGAACTCATAATTTATTACAGAACGGTGTAACAGCGCCCCGGAGGTTGTATCTCGATTCTCGTGGCGACGATTTCACTAATGTTCGGGGGTAGATTTGACAATAAAAGCAAACGTTTATCCACTGCTGACTTTCTGTATTTACTAAAATACTTTTTGCTGAACTATTATGTTTCAAATAGCATTGGATATGGTGATTAATTTATACATGTTGTTAAAGCTCTATTCAACTAGAATCAATAGATAGTTACATATCTGAAAATAACCAATATTTAAATAGTCTACATAATGTGTATCTATAATTGTCTTAATATTGGTAACATCTAGTACCAACGAAATGTTTAAAATTGCTGCCAAACCTTTAATCTTTTCAAGTATTGCAATTGAAGCGATAGCAATTAAAAAACTGGTCCTATTTCAACGAATTATACTTCGTAAACGCCCGGAAATTTGTCCATACGTACTCGTATGCACGGTCGACGGACGGTAGTTTATCTACGCTATGACTTGACATCGGAATGATCAGTAAATATGAAATCATCAGCTTGCGTCGAGAGAGTCTATTTTGCAAATTACCTACGTGATGTTTTTAGTTTTCTGATTAAAACATTGGTTCCTGAATAATAATCCAACCAAATAATCCAAGAATTTTATATGGTGTTTAACTAGACATTACGTACAATATTCAAACTTTACACCTTGAAAAAATTACACCGTTTTTATGACTAATTCAAATGATTACATAGATAATTAATGTTTTTACGAATAATTTATTTTTATGAATATACCCTCTTAAGGGTTATTTGGAATAGCCCACGGGAAGAAAATACCACAAACTTGGGAAGATGGAATAAAAGGGATAGCGGGCAGAATTGGAAAATCGTCGGAGGTCGAGTACTAGTGTAAAACATAATGACATGGACTTGGTCCAGTTTAGTGTAGTGTAGTGTGTACTCGAATAAATACAATTTTTTTTATTTATATCCTCTTAAGGGGGATATTAATTGGGTAATTGTAGTGTTTTTTCGTAAAAAAATAAAAGGATACTTAAGATTAATAGCGCTAAATTATTATAGCATTGGGAAACGTCCCGCAGATAAACTAAGTTATAAAAATTTAATTCGAAATTAAATAAACACAGCTACAGAACTCGCTCATCAGATATAGAGTTCGTGTGAAAAAAAATGGCGATTATGCGTACTAGCGTCTGGAAAGTACCAGTAATTCTTATTTTTTACACCTTATTTCATTGATTTACAAAAATAATATATGTACTTGTAAGTTTTTCATAAAAGTTTTCCGTATCAAGGGATAACTATGGAACTATAATGACGTAACAGTGCTGTCACTATAACAAAAAAACAGATTGGCACAGATTTTGTATCTGTTGTAAGTTGCCACTTGGTGTTGGTTGTCACCTTGAGACGTAATTGTCATTGTCATGAATGTCATTATACAATTTTGTATTTTGATTATCGTTTATTGTCAAAAAAGTTTACATTTGTGATCACTGGTGAAATGGTGAAATGAAAATAAAAATTTATAGAGAAATTTTTCTTATCGATTAAACTAGTTACTAGTATTTTTGATAATTGAGATCTCAAGTGATAAAATTTCGTAGTTTTAGTTTATAACGGTAATCAATTAAATCTGAAGGAGTTACTCGTTAGAAGAATATCATGACGGTCTGAATTGATTTGAATCACAATGAAAGTTCAATTGATTGAAATTTAGTGAAGTTTATGGATAAGTTACTTATTATTTGTGCTTGTGGCTCCGCTTAGAGATGGCTGATAGCGGACCCTTTGTAGCAAAGCCGGCTAGGGGTTGGCTTCACCCCGATTCCGTTTTGGCCAGCGATGGTATAACATACGCAGTGCGGGTAAAATTTTGATTGCAATCTCTTATATCTTTGTCTACATTTCTGTTGCTATAACTAACTTATTTTTGTGCAGTACATAGGGTGTATGGAGGTGTTAACGTCGATGAAGAAATTAGACTTCGAAACTCGCTCTCAAGTAGCCAAGTGCGTATCACATAAATTGGCACTCACCAGTCTTATTTTTATAAAATGTTTACAAGTCTATTCTGTTTATGTTTCAGAGAATGTATTGCTAGAGTATGTGCAGCTGCAGGATTAAGGTCAGCTGATAAAAAACGTCGCATTAGTCAGGCAGCATCTTGTGCTCTTGCTGCAAAGCCTCGAATGGCACATTCAGGTTCAAATGTTGCGTTAACTGTATCTTCAAGAGCAATCACATTAGCCGCCCTAGAGGGAGGTGAAACTATTGCCCGACATGATATGCCTCGAGTTTCATTTGCCTCTGGTGGTGATCAAGTTAGTATTAAAATTTCAATCAATTCCTATTCCTTATACATTAAATTAGAAATATTTTATAAAAGATTTTCCTAACTTGCCAAATTAGAAAACTCAATACTTTAATTTTCCAGGACTCACTAGACTTTGTAGCATATGTGGCTAAATCTGTACCCCCCACTGAGTGGCGTGCTTGTTATGTACTGGAGTGTGGAGGTAGGCTGGCTCAGGATGTCATAGCTACTATAGGACAAGCATTTGAGTTGCGCTTTAAGGAGTTCCTTACAAAGCCTACTTCGTAAGTAATGTTTTATACTGAAATGACAACCTCTATGATCATAAAAATTGCTGTTACTGGTTAGTAATAATATATAATAATTATTTATTTATTTATTATAAAGCAGCCAAAAATAAATCCATTTGGTTAGTATTTTGTTACTTAGCAGCTTGTTACAGTGGTACTTTACACTTTTACTTATAGTGTATGTTTTAAAATCTTGCTTACTTAATGACTCACACTGACCATTACCTTATATCCTTATATGATTCATATTTCAAAAAACTGGTTAAAACAGAAAGATAAATATTGTGAATGGAAAGGTAAATTTATTGATTGAAATCCATCCTAGTTATGAATAACAAATATGTAACTTGTTCATTAGACTTAATGTCAAAACTAAATGTAATAATTATAATAGTAAATTTATTTATTTATTTCATTTTGACACAACATGAAACATGTTTCATGTCGCAATGAACCAGACATTAATACTTCAGCGTCGCTATGTGTTAATTGTACATATAAATATATGTAGCACTACTATCAGGTTGAATATAAATGGTTCGTCTCACGCGGCCTCAGCAGAGGCTCCTCTAGAAGATCGTGAGTACTACAATGACATGCCGGACAAAATCCCACCGGAGGCGGCGCCGCCTGCCGCGCCCATCTCTCACCATCGACATCCACCACCGCCGCCATTGGCTTCTCTACCACCTATATCTTCGTGAGTTCACATATCATTATAATACGACATAAAAGTTAATTAAGCAAATTATTCTGATGTACACACCCCTTGACTAGGCTAAAAAGGTCACAACTCACACTTCAATAAGAACACAATAGAAACTATTTTGATCTAATATTATTTGTTTTTTTTTGTATATTTAATCTGGCAATTGTCACCATTTCTAGCATATTTGATAACTTTCTAGGGTTCTATGTTTGATAATTTGTGTTAAACTGATTTCGTTCTTGTGTCAAAATTTGCACCAATCCTGTAGTTATATTGAAATAACTGTAATAAGTACAGACCTTATTTGCGACGACCATGACAATAGCTTGCAAAAGGTGGCCTTATTTAAATATTTATTTATATTATCACGCCATTGCGACGGTCCTGACCACCACTTTCATGACATTCACCATGCATGCTCGTCATTTATGGATACTTTTAACTTGTCCCTTCTCTAGTACTTCCTGGATTTGTCCAGGTATGTACGACCAGGCCTACCCAACCCGATTTCACCATCCACGGTTGCCTTGTATATCCTATTTGTTAACTGCATTTTTAGAAGCATGCAGGAAGTAAATTTTATGAAATAACTGGGAAAGCTTGAATACATCACATAAAGTTTTATTAAACTTCTAAATCAACTACTATAGACCACAAGCCCATGAACAAAAAATACCTGTGAAATGACCCAACATGAATTACGCTTAGAAGGCTGTTACTATATCTGAAAATAGCTCTGAGCACTATGCCGTCATTTCTGAGCGGTACATGTGAGTACGTGAGTGAATGGACTTTCTCAGGTACAATGGGGGAATTTCGACTACTTATTAATGTACGGCTTTGTTATAAGTGTATAGATGATTAAAAATAAATGTCGAAAAACCTAGTGCCGTACAAAAGTGATGGTACCGGAAGTCGGTGCAAATTTTTAATTCGACGACAGTTGCAGAAGCAATATAGGTCATTTATTACTGTACGGCATTTGTGTGATTCCTTTTGGACAGATATACAGATACTTCACCCGTAAACGCCGTACATATTTCCAGGGGAACGGTCGAAAGCCAAGGGTCGGAACCCTACCCCTACACCCATATACCCTAAGGTCATTGTAAAATGTACGGCAACATGTTCAAAATATTATTTAACACGGACAATAATGTTTTATAATTATGCCGTCCAAATATTATAGTTAATATTTGTGTAATTAAATATTTATCGAAATTTCAGGATTTACCAAGTTCTTGCTGCTGTAAGATGAGAGAATAATGTACGGCAACTTGTTTTTTACATAATGTTACTAAATATTACCGTTGTACCTTATAGCCGTTCATTTTAAATGGTAACAAATAAAAATATTATGATAAAAAATATATGAAATTTCCGTAATTTAGATGACTTTTCAAATGCTCCTAGAGTAATATGGGGAGTAATATTTTCAAAGATTATTGTTATGTTATATGTAACAAATATAAATAAACAAAAAAAACCAGATGCCGTACATTTTACTCCAGATTATTCTTTACAGCTGATAAAAACTTCGACGACGTTTGAGGTGTCCCTTAAGGTCATTAATAACTGTACATATCTGAGTATACTACCATAAGGCTGTAAAGTATATTTACAGCCTTATCGTACCAGCAGAGAGAGGTAAAGGAAAAATATTTTTAACAAAAATAGAAATATAATACAGGGCGTCCCAAAGTTATGAGACATGAAGGGAAAGTACCTTAAATATCGCAGATTAGGTATTTTACTAAAAGAAGACTTTATGTTATTTTTAAAAGTTAGTGATTCTGCATTCAAAGATTTTTTAAAAACTACTTGCCTCGTCTGGAAATCGAACCGGCTTAAATTTAAAAAAAAACACCCTACTTTTATGATGCCAATCGAAAGAATGGCCAAAACCTAATAACTTTTCTAAAGTAACAGACTCGTAGGGGATTTTTTTTGGCCGAATACGATAGATAATGTTTTAATTTGATTAAAAGATATATTCACGCTGTTCCTTTCTTTTAAAATACTATGTTACTTAAGAAGAGTTATTAGTTTTTGGCCATTCTTTCGATTGGCATCATAAAAGTAGGGGTGTTTTTTTTTACATTTAAGTCGGTTCGATTCCCAGACGAAGCAAGTAATTTTTAAAAAATCTTTGAATGCAGAATTAATAACTTTTAAAAATAACATAAAGTCTTCTTTTAGTAAAATACCCTATCTACGATATTTAAGGTACTTTCCCTTCATTTCCCATAACTTTGGGACGCCCTGTATTGGTAGGCGGTGGTAGCGGACTATCGAAAGTGTACGGCATTTATCTTTTATTGAAGATTGTCTAAAGTATTAATAACCTGTGTTATTGCCGTACAGATAAAAGTCACCGGAAAATGACTCTTTTCTGAGGAAAGTAATTTACCCCATACACCTATGTGTTCCACAAAAAATGTACGGCATGCTGGAAAATGTTATCTATTTGTGAAGTACTCTCAAGATCATTTAATTTTATGTTGTTTCATATCATCATCACCTATATGCTAATCAGACATATGTTGCGACCCTTGGCTTTCGACCGCTCCGCTGGGAATATGTACGGCGTTTACGGGTAAAGTATCTGTATATGTGTCCAAAAGGAATCACACAAATGCCGTACAGTAATAAATGACCTTTATTGCTTCTGCAACTGTCGTCGAATTAAAAATTTGCACCGACTTCCGGTACCATCACTTTTGTACGGCACTAGGTTTTTCGACATTTATTTTTAATCATCTATACACTTATAACAAAGCCGTACATTAATAATTAGTCGAAATTCCCCCATTGTACCTGAGAAAGTCCATTCACTCACGTACTCACATGTACCGCTCAGAAATGACGGCATAGTGCTCAGAGCTATTTTCAGATATAGTAACAGCCTTCTAAGCGTAATCCACGTTGGGTCATTTCACAGGTATTTTTTGTTCATGGGCTTGTGGTCTACTAGTGAACTCATTATGTTTGAATATTAATAATTATCTGTACATAAGTTAAGAGGAAAATTATGTGAGTATTCATAATACAATAATATTCACTTAATTGATTTATTAACATCAGTTGTGTGGAAGCTGTTTATGTGATTGATGGTAAGATTTCTTAATACTATGCTATAATACTTTATCAATCATTTAGTTACGAACCTATTTTCGTTATATAACCCATTTATTACTTTATTTGAAGGAAATAGACGTTTTAAATAATGTGTTTAAAAAATACTGTTCCTTCAGTTAATTTAGTACTTTTTCGCATTTTCAGCGTACAAGATTATAAGAATGACCCGAATTTATTATGTCTGTCGTTTTAGAATTGAAATATGCAAAATAATGATCCTTCGAGGCAATCATTATTTTAGATTCATATTTTTGAGATACATTATTTGATTTGAATGATTCTTTTTTGTTTAATAGATAAAATACGTTTCTAAATCGTACCCATTTTTTGATAATCGAGGAAGTAATCCTTTTTGTGCATTCCCCGCATTTCAATATACGTAAAACTCAAATCACACCAGGCATCCCGTTATTAGAGAGCCGGGTGAGCAATACCCCTCTAAAAAAATCTCCTCGGGTGTATCCCGCCTAAGGATCAGTGTCGCCTTCGCATTCTACCGGGGCAGTAGCTGGAGCTGAGTATAAATGTAGAATAGTCATTATTCTATTCTCGTAAGTAATCCTATGGTTTTTTATTCCAGTTGTGAGGAGAGTGTCCGTCAGTACGTGAACCAGACGCCCCCACCCCGCACACCCCCCACCGCATTGCTACCCAATCATCATACAGACATATTTGATATGCGTAAGTACATATAAACGTACTATATACAAGAGTAGCTTTTGCACGCGTGGATTTTGTTTATCTTGAAAAGTAAATATTTTTTAAAAGTAAAAAATAAAGTAAAAGTAAATTTACATTAAACACCTAAAGCTTCCTAAGGCATTACTTTTAAACGGTAAAAAGCCGTTCAGACGTTTTTGAGAATATCACGCTCATAGAGACAGAATTATATGTATAGATGCTTCGAGTTTAAGAAAACAATTTTCGGATAAACTGAATTCATAAAAACGCTGGAAGATTATTTATTTATTATAGGTCAGCCAACAGATTTGCAACTCACACACATATCTATCCCTATAAGGTATGCACACACCATTACAGAATGACACAGATTGCGCTTAGTCACATTAAGTCTTTTCATGGATCATGGACCGAATCTCTGCAGCCGAATGAATCTTGAATGAGTCACTGACTCGCTTTTAAATTAAACAAGTGATTTTTTTCGACGTAATTGTTTGTGAATCAGTCACAGAAGTTGTGTACGAGCCAAGGCACATTTTGCTCACTCAGGTTTTATTAGTTTTATAAGCGTGGCAATTTCCTAAATAGTTAGAGTTACGCCCCGAGAGTATAGCCAGACGTAGGCACTCTCTTCAACTGTTACATTGCATTCATTCGTTACATAGCAATAAACATTTTATTATTTCGCTTATACTCTATTGTTGTACGCGAGTGGTTAATATAGAGTAAAACTAAATCTTCTATTTTTTAAAGCACCCCGATGACAAAGGACCCGTACATTTTGGTCCTTCGATGCGGTTTTAATGTTTCTGGTAGCTTGTTAGAAAATTCTGTCAACTTCAGAACCATATTTTTCTATTCTTAATCGCAATAACACCAACACTTTGATAGTATGAAACACAAAAGTGTTATTATAAAATATGGATTTTATTAATTAAAAAAATTATAGTTAAAAATATTGATTTTATATTGACACGTAAGTCACGTGACACTTAGTATCGAATCTTGTATCTTGTGTGAAAATGATTTCGCCTGTCTAATTCTTATACATTCTTGGAGTTTAATGTCGTCGGAGACTGTTTTTGATTGAATTATGATATATCGTCACTGTAGAATGATATCCTCGTATGACAAAAAACCATTTATTTATTTTTTTAGACTCTTATGTCATTTAACTGATATAATCATGAAGTAAAGACTTATTTATGTTATTAATAAATAAGTCCTTTTTACCATCTAAAACTATGGTCAAAAAGACATAATAATATTTTAACGAACATTGACGAAATGAAACTTTTTTCGTTTTCTGTAATGCTTGGTTCTCTGGTCATACGAGTTTATCATTCTACAGCAACGATATGTGTATTGGTATAATTCATAAATGATTAACACGTAAAAAACGCATGGTCTGCAATGGACTGGACTGGTTCGATGCCATCTTGCCTAGAGTAATCTTTCGGCGGGTTCTTTAAATTATTAATGTTTCATTAGAATATTTTAAAGCTAATACTTAACAGGATTACAAAATACAAATTTGGATAAGTTATTAAGTCACTAATAAATAATCTGAAATGTTTTTTCAAATCTTGTCAAATAGCCTGTTATTGTACTTTTTTCAGAGCCCTTCACAGCAGCCCCTTTGACGTCATCGTCGACATCTCCCGGGACTTCCCCGGCGGGGGCAGAGGCTGAGCCTCTAGGGCCGAGCGCACAGGCTGCTCTACTCGCTAGGGAACCGTGGTTCCATGGGGCTATCTCAAGGAGTGCTGCCGAAAAGGTACCAACTATGTAATATATGTCTAAAAATTTTATAATTTACATATTCATTCATAAATCACTGTATTTGTACCGTTTTAATTAAACTCATCTGTCTCTTTTCACCATAGCATAAACAAGACTTCGCAGTAAGAGACAAAAGATTAGAGAAGTATTTTAGTTTGAGTGTTTGTCGACTGTTTTTTTATATGAATACATACTTATATATATTAAGTATATTAAGGTGTATAAAAGTCATATGGACCGTGTGTGTCCCTTTTTAGTGTATGCCAATGCCTGAGGGACCGTTCAAGTATTACGTAACGAATTTGGGGGGGGTCCTTTTGTAAAACGTTACGATGATGCGGCGGGAATTGAATTACGCGTTATTGTTAATATTATTTTCGACTTTCCAGTACTTTACACCACATAATGGTAACTTTTAGGTATAACGAGTCACTAGGTGGTCACGAAGCGTTACGGCGCATTACATGGGGGGGAGGGTCAATAATCTCCAAAAATTGCGTGACGTGATACTTGAACGGTCCCTGCCTCTTTAAACACTTAAATCTAATTATTTTGTTGAAGTTGGTGGTGGAAGATGGCGAATTCCTAGTGCGAGAGTCGAGCGCGTGCCCCGGTCAGTTCGTCTTAACGGGCTCTCGTCGCGGACATCACAAACATTTGCTGCTTGTCGATCCTAATGGAGTGGTAAGCGAACTTCCGAACCAATACAGCTTAAGTTCAAGAAAATAGCAAGTTTTTTCACATTGTGAGTGTTGTGCCTTCATGATTAATATAAATGCATCAATGTTTTAATATAAATCAGTATTGTACCAACACTCATATTAAATAGTCGTGTCTTGAAGAGCCTTGTTTCATTACAATGCACAGTACCTTATAAGGACATACGAATACCAAATAAGATACAGTGTCTACGGGCAGCGGTGTCTTTTAACATTGGGTGAGCCTACTCGTTGGCCACCTTTTGACCTAGCTAGGAGACACGAAATTTCCATAGTCTAGTCTATGGAATATGGCATTAATTTACTTATATTGATTTATTAGGTTAATACCGATATAATATGTATGATATGATATGGCATCAAAACGTATTTCACAATTTTAATGATTTCTTAAAAAGCCGGTAACGCACTTACGAACCTTCTGGCAATCCTCCTGCCCATTTGACCCCTGTTATATATAATTAATTAAATTAAATATCTATGCAAATGAACTGAACAAAATAAAACTTAACTGAATAAACTGTTACACCATATGTGGTTTTATCCCCGCAATAAGAAAAGGGGTCGTTTTGTGAAATAAAATAAATTGTGCGTGTACTAGGTGTACACACGTAAGAAGTGAAACTTCTTTATGATCTTATTTTTCGAAAAATGATCGACTATATTTATATTATAAATTCGTTAAATTAGATAAAGTTTAACAAAAGGCTTTTATTATCATAGACATGAATACAAATATTTCATTTTACCTTATTACTACGAAGATTATTATAGAACTTCATTAATTGTAATAGAATTATTACTATCATTGAAAAACGTGACGATTTGCTACAAAATTTCTCCCATACGTCGATAAAGAAGTTTCATTCCAACGCCGATAAAGTTTGACTTCAAAAAGCAACATGGCGCGTAACCGAAAAATGTGACGCGTAACGAAATAATGTTACACTAAATTTTTTTTCCAACCTCGATAAAGAAGTTTCACTTCAATAATAAATTATTGTGTCAGTTTCTGTATTCACAAAAACATTTATTTTTTCATATTTAAAACTATAATAACAGTGTTACATAACATAAAAGGTAGGGATGACGTCACACCCCACCACGGTTCTCTTTAACTGACAAACAAACTTATCTAGTGTCTAACGTTTCATATAAGTAATGCTTTTGTGTTTAACTGTTCTTATCACCAATAGACAATTTTTTTTTTCTGTATATATTTTTATAAATTTTTATAGAAGTTAATGAGAACCAAGTGGAAATCTAGGAATGCCTAGGGAAGGCTTTAAACCAGCTAAGTGATAGATAATAGCGCACCTATCTACTTCTCCGAGGGATTAACTGTTCATACTTCGTCTTTATTCGTTTGTTTGATAAGAATACTATGTAATGGTTCCTAAGATGAGCGCAAAACAATTCAGCTTTATATTAAAAGTATATTTGAATTGATTACAGGTTCGAACGAAGGACCGAGTTTTCGAGAGCGTGCCTCACCTCATCAAATACCACTGTACCAACGAGCTGCCAATTGTGTCTGCTGACTCTGCACTTTTGCTTCGGAAACCTGTTATGAGATCCTGATTGCCGGACACGCATTACGGACATACGTATTGAAACGGACAATTGTTAAGTGTTAAAACTGGACTGTTAACTGCAAGATTTTAACCTAAATATGTTAGAAGTAAGAAAAAATGTTTTGAAAAAAAGTTGAGGGTAGTTGGGAATATGTTGACTTTGAGAGGGTAGTTTAAAATCGAATATCTGAAGAGTTGTAAAATGTCTTAGCTTTGTAAATAATTAAATTTTCCATCACATTTTGAAAATCAGTTATCTAGTGTTGCGTAGCAAGTTTGTATACGGGCCTACGATTCATTGACAATTTTAAGTCAAATATACAAGTTTTGACAGCTCCCAATACTGCTTTAATCTCGATTGATGTTTGAAAACTGGCCTAGTGCGAAGTAATACTTGATATTTAAATTAGGACCCAAACTCCAAATCTCACTATAAGACATGTACTATAAAAGTACAATTTTTGTTGCCATGATTACAAATTTCAAAGGAATATATGCACCCGGTTACCATGGTGACAATTACTATTAGTCCAATTAAAAAGCCGTAACAGTTTACCAACCAGTTTGTGTAATCTTAAAAAACTATTCATAGATTTTTTTTCAATACTAATACGATTGTTAGTAATTACGAAACGTTCTTTTATATACAGTGACATTACACTGTTATGAGGGCTGCATTTAAATAGAACTGTGGAGGAAGGAGGATGTTGTTCTTCTGGCCTTAAGGCCTTATCATACTAGCGGATTCGTCCAATGCCGTAGCATCTTCCGTGGGCAACTTCACGGTGTCACGGTGCGCGCGCATCTTAAAATTTCACTCTCATCAATTTGTCATAACGCGCCTAAAGAAGTATAACTTCAAAAAACAATTTCGCATTCGTGTCTCGTTACGAACTGAAGTGAGGCGGGGCAGATAGACTGGCGTTTGTACGAGACTGTACAAAATGGCGTCCACGCCGCTATTTGCGGCGGTCTCGCTGCGCCTCCGCAACGAATTCGCTGCGCACCCGTTCCGCCCCGCAGCCGCTCTCAATCCGCTAGTATGATAAGGCCCAAAATCCTTAAGGGAGAACCGACCGCTATGACTGACTGGTCAGACGTTGTGTATAACTTTAGAGGTCGTAAAAACTTCGTTATCGCGTTTCAGGGTATGATGTTATCAGCGCAGTGATTGTAACCGTAAATGTTAGATGTCTGATGGATTTACACGCGAATTATTATCGCGTTTATATATGTATTTCCTAACAAGTTATATATTTAAATATGATAATTGTATAATATAAAATGCATTTATTCTTGTATCTCGTGATATATTAACTATTTTTCTTTATCTTTTGCAAACGGCCTATAATTAGTTTTAAGCTTAAAGACATGTTTTTATGCACTATATAATATTCTTATCGAATTTTGTCTTCCAATTTGCAATGCATTCATAATTACTGTTATTACTATTAATTTAAGTTTTCATTCAGTGATTAAAATTTAACTTGCTATATTATTTACAAGTTATTCCTTACTAAAATATTAAATGATGTAATTTGTATAAAAATATTTAATACACAAATTGGTAATTCATACGTTTATCTGTGATCTTTATATCATTATATGATCACAATTTAACGAAGTTTACATCACCAAGGAGTTTCTATTGTATTGTGATCTGTGACAACTTTGCGCGTTTGTATGGATCATGCATGGTCCTTATATTAAAAGATTCAATCTCAATTTATAAGATATTGTATGAAAGTTAATAAAACATAAGTATTTAACAACAATTGCAAGAATGGCATAAAGTACTATTTCAAAATTCTTAGGTTAATAAAATGTGCAATCGCAATGCCAAACGAGAGAATTTCCATGAAAATCATATTTTTCTAAAATTATATTTTGATAAGATCTGCTTTTTATTTAGATTCATTCCATGCTCTCTTAGATTAAGAATGTATTTTATCATTAAATGCACAATATTTACCATTTAATCAATTAGTTAGTTGTAACTATAGGTGCTATGACAGCTTACTTAAACAATATTATGCAAAAGTATAAATATATGAATTTATTGTAATTATTGACTATTTGAATTCAGCTCCCTCTTTGTGTTTAAGAAATGATAAATTATGAAGTTACTAAAATACGCCTAATGAGTGAAATTGAAAAAATATATTTTAAGAAATCCAAAGATATAATTGTTTTATATGATTCGCTTCCATCAGTAAACATTGAACTCTGTTACCTAAATATTATAAGCATGCATATGGTGCGTTCCACTAAGCGCTCACGACGATCACGCTCACGACCGCTGATTTCCCCATTCCACTTGATTGTGAATGTTACTGTCGTTAACTCAAGTGGAATGGATTATGGAGCGTTTCGGGCGTTCATGTAAATATTACAAATGTCAAGTTTTAAAATAGTAGAATTTTAAGGAGGTTAGGTAATCATAAACAATAAGTTTTGATATTTGTGACTTAAATTTATTTATGTTAAAAGTGAAGAATAATTGAATATTTTATAAATAATTTTGGTGAAGTTATCAAACAACTTAAGTTTAAATATAATCGAAATGGCTTTACAATTTCTCTTTCTGAATCAAATAATGTGATTTTTCTTGTCGCCATCTTTAAGCTTTGAATATAATAATATTATTATTTGTCATATTTCAAAAAAAAAAAAATCAAAAATTGCGCCAAATTATTCTCAACGTTCACAACGACCCACCTCTTTAGATGGGTCGTTGTGAGCGTTGCGTGAGCATTAGTCATGACGTCATAAGTGACGTTTTCGCCGTGACCACAACGACCGCGGTCGGTATGTGGAATGGCTAAAGGAGCATTTTGATCGTCGTGAGCGCTTAGTGGAACGCACCAATAGTGAATTGAAAAGTTCTTTAGACACGTATTCTAAATTGACGAAACTGAAACCCACTGTCGAAGACGTTGACACATTTGACAGTGACGTTATATATGAATTGGAATACGGGTCTAATGTTAATGGTTACTCCATGTTAGACACTGTTAGTTTTGGATTATAAATATTATCAATTGAATTTACAATAAAGACAACTGTATAGATATATCGCTTTTATTTTTGTCTATCACTAGCTACCCCCGCGTACTTCGCGTCTCCTTAATGTGATTTTACTTACCTCTTTAGTACATACCAACATGGATCACTTTGCTATGCCCCCAGAATGGTCGGTTTTCCGGAATAAAAACTTTTAAGGTGTTCTGTGAATTTTTCTCTATATAAACCTCAGAGTTCAATAATTAACAAATAAAAAATAGGGGTTCATCGTAGAGGGGTGAAAATTAAGTATGATGTTGTTTAATTTTTTTATTTTATAAATAGCTTCACGCAGAGCGTATTGCCACAGACAAAGATGATATCTCATAAAAAAATAAAAACAAAAATCTTTGTCTAAGTAAGTCAGTACCCCAATCGCAGACTTACTGAATATGCATAAAAAATTCATAAGAATCGGTCGAGCCGTTTAGGAGGAGTATGGGAACGAACATTGTGACAAATAATTATTATTATTTAGCCTAAAGAACCTTTGAAATCGATTTAATAGTTTATTCACTATAAATAATAAACATTGCGCTTTTACGCGTGTTCGAAATACATTATATTATTATATTTTTTTTTATTAAATTTGATGAGGGTGATGCCAAATATTTTTACACGGCCGATCGACACATTTTTTTGTTAGTTTTGTTGAGCTTCATTCGGGTTACGTGTTCTCGTGCATCTAGCATTTTTTATTTTGATAAGACATATATACTTTTTGTTAATTATAGATACGTCCACTATTTAGAATTTTATAGTGAGTGTTTTAGTGCGTGTTTAAAAACTATTGTGAGGCAAGGTATCAATCACCATCAGTCTAACCTCTTTTTGTGCCCATACTAAAACTATTCCCAAATCCTTACGGCTGATAATATTGTGTGCCTATCTTCCTGTAAGGAGACATTGACGAGGCATGTACTCAGGACTTATTATTTTAATATGAATTATGTATCGACGGCCACCGAACCGTTCTTTGTGGTACAATGCGTCTAATTTAGAAAATTTTAATCAGTTTCACTCAAAATTTGTTCATATTTTTAGGGGATTTAAAAATTATTCTGTCTTTATTTTATTATTACATAAATGAGTTAATAGAAAATAAAATAATTTTTCCATATTACACGTTTAATAAAAATTTAATATTACAGTATAAACAGTAAGGTCATACATGGCAGTGATGTTACAATAATCTATAAATAACGGTATTCGCTGTACAGACCATTCCTTGCACTTTGGTGCCACACGATTTATTATAAAACATTAAATAACTAAATAGATATTACAGCTACATCCAGTTACTAATGTTTTATAATAAGCATCAGACCTTTTCGCTACTCGACACGTGAAGTACAACCGTCACATCTCACTAACATAGATAAAACTTCGAAAGAAATAACGAACGAATCCGTGTCGAGTGCGAAACGAATTTGGTATAAGATGCGAGAATTCATTTGCAATCAGCTCTACGGCGAAATATATTTCTCGGATCAGATAAACGCTTAGCATTTACTTCATCTGTATTAAAAGATCTTATACCAAAACTCGTCCATTTCCTAATTTGCCTAACACCGAGCCAAATACAATTAAGACTAATCCTTTACATTCCAATCCAAATTTTACTATAAACCGATCTACACGACGGCAGCAAGGGCTGGTGAACACACAGCATTTTAAATGCGTAACACTTGAATAAAATTTAGCGTGCAACCGCCCCACGCCTCGAGATACCGTATGCGTATCTGCCGAGAGTCGGTCCGGCCTCGCTCGATACGGGCAGAGGCGCGGACCGACTTTCCGTCCCTTCACTTCGTGTCCGCACTGGAGACGGTCAAATCCGAACTAATAGAATTGCTAAGTGCGACATTCCCGAATTTCGCGAGTATAAACATTCTTTGGGACTCGACAGCACTTTCACCAGACCCTCCTAAAACGCAGAGCCTCCGTGCGTCGCTCTCGCTAATATTCGCTACGCGGCCTACTCTACTCGAGTGAAATAAAATGTTTAAAATAAATAATATGCTTCTATACATAAAATACACTTACGTGGTGAACACCTGAGCACATGAGACCATTGCGGGCGGAGCTCCGAGCGCGGAAGCGACCCTTTCCCCTCTTTCGAAGCCGTGATACTTATACGATACCGTTGAATTGACTTTTTTATAAATATCTCGCCCAATCACAAAAGTCATCGAGGAGCGTGTAAAGTGTAAATCTATTTAGTCTAGGTACAAAATTACTTCGTCACCAAAATATCGATTTCGAACAATTTCTATAACCTCGCGTCGCGTATTAAAAATAGATCGCGCTACTCGTACTTAGCTTATCTTAAATTGGTCGATTTCCGTTTACGTATCGACGGGGGATTCAACTAGCGTGTTTCTAATCGGAAACCGAAAACCGTCGGCCTTAGAAAAATCCAAAACTAAAAATAGGGATCCGTAGCGACATCGTACACTCTCACACAGAAAAAATACAGGTACGTCGACGTTCAGCCAGCCGAAGGGCGGGACGCTCAGTCGGGCGTCGCCGGCAAGGCGGGCAGGGCGGGCGGCGCCGCGTGCGAGTTGGGCGGCGGAGGACGATGCAGCGTGAAAGCGTCGTACACCTGCAACAGCTCCTCCATGTGGTGCTCCTCGAGGCACAGGAAACCCTGCAGCGCGGGACTCGCCCGGCGCGCGCAGGGCAGGCAGTGCACCACGTGCCTCTTTTCGTGCTCGCGCACGAGCAGCGCGTGCCAGACCTCGCGTTCGCAGGCGCCGCAGTAGTGCGACGCTTCGCCCCTCGCCCGCCCGTGAAAACGCACGGGCACGGCGCGCGCTCGGACGGCGCCCAGAGTGCCGGCCGCCGCCCGGAGCGTCTGCATGAGGCAGGTGCGCATCGCGCGGTGGAGGCGCGGGTCGGACACGCGGATGTTGCGCGCCAGGTTCCACGTCAGGTGCACCATGGGGACAATGGACTTGAAGCTCTGCACCTTGTTCCACTCGTAGCGCTCGAGCGCCAGCGCGTACTGACGCGCCGTCAGAGGGCCGACGTTCCAGGCGATGTTGTTGCACCAGCCGGTGGCTTGCACCCAGTGCACGCAGCCCGCGTTCACCCACACGAGGTCGCCGGGCCTCTGCGTGAAGCGGTACACGGGGACGCCGTGCGCGCGCAGCTCCTCGGGGTCCGGCCACCACGAGCCGTGCAGGTACGACAGCCCGTGGCGGTCGCACAGCTCCTTGACGCCGCCCCAGTACGCGTCGGGCACGCCGAACCACTCGCAGTCGCCGGGCCCGATGTTGATGTTGATGGAGCAGAAGTTGTTGTTCTCCTGGTGGCCGGGCGTGCGCGAGCCGGGCACCTTCATGTACAGCTGCACCGTGTTCATGCCGAGGATCACGTGACCGACGTGCGACAGCATGTTGGCGGCCGATGTGACGCGCGCGAAAGCCGGCAGCTTCTGCAGCTCGGCCAGCTGGGGCCGCCACTTGCGCTCGTCGGAGAGGTCGACGTTGGTCCCGAACCGGAGCATGCGCGCCCCGCGGCGCCTCTTCACGGGTCCCGACTCGCGGCCGTCGGAGTCCGAAAGGGCGCCGGCGGCGAGGGCCCCTCCTCCCCGTTCGCGCTCCTCCCGCAGCGAGTCTTGGAAGGAGCCGGCCTGGTACTGCGCGTATTTCCGCACTGTGGTGTGTGAACGGTGCGAAGCGCAAGCCCACACGCGCCGCCTTCCGCTGGGATCCCAGTTCTCGTCGGCGGACTGCATTAGCTGAGTTCGGACCTCCACGGCGTGGTCGGGCCACGCCTCGACCAGCGTCTTGGTCGAGAAGAGGCCTAGGTCGAGCTTCAACGCGGCCGTGAGACCGCGCACCACGGCTATCGGGTGCTTCAAGCAGAAGTCTTGCAGCTGCGGCGAGAAGGCGTCTCTCTTTGACTCCACGTAGACGAAAGGAGCGGGCGGTGCCAGTTGCTCGGGGCTGAGACGCGGAGGGGGCACGGGGGGAGGCTCCGGGGGGGCGCAACCGTCGCCCAGCACGGACCATGAAGACGCAGGTCCCGCGTTATCCCTGAAACATTGAAAATATATATAGATACTCCACACATACAGAAGAACACCTACCCGTTTTAGAAATCTTTTGTAAACTTAGACACAGGAAAAAGGTTATACACTTGAATATCTATCTAATATATACTTTTCAATAATTACATATGCGTCTAGTACAAATAAACACTCACTTGCAAGCGTCAAGTATCTGCTTGGAAGTCATATTCATGTTAAAACTGAGTGGCTTAAGGGGGTCAGTCTTCAGCGGCTCCAACTTCACGACGGCCTGCCGTCCTCCCAGAACTGCCTCGCCGGTTACGCCTTCTGCTGAAACAAATGCATGGTTACTCAAACGACTCCATTACAAAAAGCTGACTTTTATAGTTTCCTGGCATAAAACCCCAGCCAGGCTTTCGAAATCGAAGAAAGAAACGTACGAAAAAGTCATATCTCGAGTCATGTTCTATTAATACGTGTCGACTAAGCGAAGTATACGAACTAATTAACTTTTGACTTAGAATTTTTTCATAATACTAAAATATTATGTACAAATTCTAAACCACAATCTACCTATCAACTCACTTCCACATTGCAATAACCAGTGTGAAACTATGACACATAATATGTGTATTATTCATACCCCAAAAGAAATGTAAATCGGACAATAAGTAGAACAATTAATCTTGCTGTTGCAATTAAATCGGCGGAAACCAAAACAAAGGATTTAATCTCAACACCGCATCGCTACGAGTTGTTTCTGTGCATACAAGTGTGCCACGATAGGCCGAATCACCTGCACAATGAAACTGCATTTAATAACAATTCTTATTAAATACTCCTTAGTCACATCATACCACAAATAGAATATAACAATAGAAAATAGTGTTGTTTTAAATCCTAACATATTATATATAAGTCTTCCTAACTGTATACACAATAATAACCAAACGGTTTCCAGCAATTCCTTAAAAAGGGTTACGCATTTTAATATATGTATTTAACTGAAATGTAATGATTATTGCTAAGAGATTACAAAAAATCTTATCAAAATAAACGAAATTCACGCGGGCGGAAGCTCTTTTAAAATAAATTTTCACAATAGTTAACTTGGCAAAAGAAATCACAAGTTTTGCTGTAAGTACGCACGTTTTACTAAAATGTTGCTCACATTGACGAAAAGAAATTACGCAAAATATTTAAAAATAACAATATCCCGATGCCTATAAATAAATGGAAAATATATTTCGCAAATGCCAAACATTCTTTAATGCTATATTTGACACTGAACTTGTCACAATAAAAAAATAATGTTAACGTGGCATATAGGTATATTAAAAAGAAAATACTTTTGTATCTATGAATTGAATATAATAGGAGATATTCACTTAATATAAAAACTACTACACTAAATATTTAATAAACTAATATTTAAAATTTAAAAAGCTTAGACAGACGTGGTGATATTGATGTACGCATTTAAATATTTTATATACAGTGTTCATGTTTATTTATTTATTTATTTACATGCCCATAAATGGCCAAATTTCAACAAAAAAAATTATAAAGCTACTATATAATAAGGCCACCTTTACGAAATTCACAGAAAAGCTTTTGCTATCCATTAATCCTCTCTAAGTATGCCCTTAAATCATAGAAGTCCTAGAGAATGTTTAACAATTACACAAGTAACCAACGACCAGTCACTTTCTGTGCGGCTTGATCCCTTGGCGTTGCGTAGAGGTGTGGGGTCTCTCTGCATCTTCTACCGTATTTACCATGGAGAGTGTTTAGTGGAGTTGTTCGGACTAATACCTGCAGCCGAGTTTCATCATCAGACGTCAAGGCAGAATACAATGCGTATCACCTAAACGTCCGTCGTTACACAACTGAGCGTTTCTTAAGGCAGTTTATGCCGCGCAATCCGAAGCAATTCGACTTAGGGTCCTTCAAGAAAACAAGATCGAGCGTATCAATTCTTAAAAGCCCGGCAACGCACTTGCGAGACTTCTGGCAATGTGAGTGTCCACAGGCGGTATCACTTTACATCAGGTGAGCCTCCTGCCCGTTTGCCTCCAATTACATAAAAAAGTAACTGGTTCAACATCTCTTAACTGAACTGCTCTTGCATTTTTATTGAAGTTATACTTCTTTAGGCGCGTTATGAAAAATTGATGAGAGTGAAATTTTACGATGCGCACGCACCGTGACACAAAATTAACAGAATGAAGTTGCCCACGGAAGATGCTACGGCATTGGACATAATTTAAAAACAACATTCGAATAATAATAGAATTTATGTTACACTTAATGTATGAGAATAATAATAAATATTTATTTATTTAATTTTTCAAATATAAACTGAACTTTATTGACTATAATGACTCCTTTTCCAGTCTTTGATTATTTAATGGTAATTAAGTATTTGCATGCAATCAAAAACTATTTTTAATAATGCCAAAGTAGTATAACTTCTTACGCGCGTACATAAGTACACGCACCCTTTTTTTTGTTAATTACTACAGGTCACCCTAATAATAATACAAGTTTCTAATCATCGCTACAATATATACAATAAACCAAAATAGTAAAACACAAATACAAGATGCAATAATCAATTATTAAAATATTTAAAACAGCAATGTTATTTTAACAAAAAACACTACACAGCTCATTATAAATATCCGCCATCTTGCCTGTCAGAATTGTTATACAATATTTTAGTTCTATTAAAAAGCTTAGATGCATCGGTAAGAGTGACAAAATCTATTGCCTATTAAATGACCCTGACTCTAATTTATACTATTAAAATACAGGAATGTGTCTCATTCCACGAAAATGTTATAATAGCTTCAACAAGGAAGCAGTTCGATTAATATATGCACAGATGTATCGATACATAGATAAGCCTCTGAAAATGGTTCGTACCTCGTATGGGCACGTAATGAGGTCACGCTGACAAATACCACATATCGCATGGAATGTGGCAGTAACGGTGTGGAATTGTTCACACTTGTAACCTTAACATACCTTTTTACGACTTGATAAGTTTTAATAACAGTAGTTTTCGTTACATTAAGTTATACGCAAGAGGTTTAGGGACTTACTTTTAAACTTAAGTATGCTAAGATTTTCTTAAGTACTTTTTTTTTGTTTGTTTTTACAACAAACTGCCAAACGAAATTAGATAAAATAAATAAATTCAAAGCCCTCGTGAAACAAAAATTAATTAATAAAGCGTTTTATAAATTTGAGGAATACTTAAATGATCCTAATCCTTGGGATTGATTTGCTCCAGTTCAAACAATTTGTATGACTCAATAGTTGGCGATTAAAAAGAGTGGCGGAAAGTTTCTTGCCAGATCTTCTTACCCCTTGACTTGCGAACTGGTAGTAAATGTAAATTTACAATTAATTTAACTTCTTTCTGACAATTCATAAGTGTACTTGTTTACCTACATGAATAAAGATATTTTGAGTATTATATGATAGCGGGGCAAACGAGCTTACAGACAAAAAGAACATGCTACCCATGTTCGAGGGTGCGTTGACGGCCTTTTAGTATTTACAATTTAGTCTTTCGTATGTAAGCACTTGTAACTTTTATTAGTGTTATTAACATTCACAGTCGATATATTTTTACGCCTCGATAAGTTGTAATAACAACACTTTTCTTTACATAAAATCATACGAAAGAGGTGTTGAAACTTAGTTTTACTCTTCTGGATAGTAAGGTGTGTTTGAAGAAAAGACAATTAAAAGTTGTATGAAATAGTTTACTATGCTAAAGTATGGAACAATTACGGTATTGTGGTCTACGTTTCAGAATTATTAATTTATAAGCATTGATTCTCATTGCTTTATTATTAAAATAATTCAAACAAATTAAACAGCACTTTCACTACAAATTCATGTTGTACCTAGTAAATGCGGTCAAGTCTAACCATTTCATACAAATGCTTATCGCAAACGTATATTTAACGACAAAACTTTGTCGATTTTATATTTAAAGATTTTATGGGCGCATGTACTAAATTAGTTATAGAATAATCGCGATATTGTATTTCAGAGTATTTTTTCCGTTGCTCTTTTGAATGTTATATTTTTGACACGCGTATTGTTTCCGATAAATTCTTTGGGAAGACACATTCCAGTATAGTAGGTTGTATTATGCTCGTGACACCTTAAAGGCTCAATTAATCACTAATTACTGGTCGCCATTCGCGCCTTTAATATGTAGGAAATTCTTATTATACTACTATCTCTGCCTTTTAATAAATTTATTAAAGAAAAGCTGTGTAAAAAGGCTTATTATAAAGTTAACGATTATCTAGTTGATAAAAGGGCCTGGGACTAGTGCTAGACAGGCTACTTCTAATTAATTTGCGATATTTGTTTTAAAATAAGTGTTGTTTGACATAGTTATTTTGTACGATGATTTGCTATTTTAACAGAGTACAGAGAGTTTTTTACGGCTTTTTCTCTCGGCCTACACCCTCTGTTTTCTTTGCCGATGAGTAGGGATGTCTATCGATTGAAATTTAATGACGTGGAATAAGTGATACATGTACCTTATATTCCTTAATAAACATATTTTTTTTATTTACACAATATTAGGCATATTACTTAGATTGATAAAACTTCGTGAAGGAAGCTAATAATTAGCTCAGGGTTCGTTGAAGCAATGGCGCGTGAATGAACGTGTTTCATTTTGACCGCGATCAAAAGTGGAATGTGGCTAATGATGGTTCCAATCGAAATGTTAAGACGATACGAGCAAGCTAACGAAAAGTGAGTCAAATATATGTTATGAATAAAAAATTAAGATTTTTGGTAAATTTTTCTAGTAATTTTATTAATTGAATGAAAACCCAGAAAAGAAAGTTCAAGGCAGTAATCTATATATAAAATATATTCACTTTATAATAAAATAAAAATCATTTATAATTTTAAGATTTTATAGTACAGAATTTACTCTTAATATACAATTATTATTGCAACTTGCGCAATAGTCACACTCAGAGTTCATTAAGAATTACTTAAGCCAAGTAAAATTTTAGTTCACCATAGATCCGATCGGAATTTCATACCCGAGATCCATTCTTAATAAACAATAATCAATCTACTATCAGTTTGACCTGAATATATGATAGAATTGGACATGTACACACTAAATTTCGTTGTCCACAATTTCATCGGAAAAGCTTCAGGTGAACAGTTAAGTTTCAATATTGGTTCAGTATTTTTTGAGATATAAATAATGTTGACAGGTATTTGAAGTCAATATAAGAACTCTTAAAGCAATTCATCTAGCAAGTGATACTTTTTCACATCCAACACCTTTTGTCTTCAGTCACTGTGACCACGCACGCTGTAAAGTGTATACGCACGCGAAACGTCGGTTAAATTTAAAATTATTGTAAATACATAACTTCAATCCGGTAAAAAATTGTTTTATTATTGACTCTTAAAGCGCCTAGGATATAGAAATATTGCCAGTATATTTCTGCCACCAGCCATTGCCAGTATAGCTATGCCACCGCCTACACTATTATAGAATAAATAATATTTAAAAAGTGCCTGTTTCTTACAATAAATCTTATTTTATTACAATATGTTTTATAATGTGGCGTACCTATGACTTATTTAGTTCCGTCCTTACAATAAGGATCATATCGATATTAATAGGTTTTTGTCATATCGTGAAAGAAGATGTGCGGAACGCACGCAGTATCGAATCCATCTCCTAAATCGTGAGACTATTAAAATAAGTTTTAGTTTTTCAAACGTGATGAATGTTTTAAATATAAATATGTCAACTTCATACTATAAAGACAGCTCTTGAAACTAGATTTAACATTGTGACTTAGACATTTCTAAATTTACGGAAAACTTCCTAGTCTTCACAAATCTTATTACTAAAATTACTCGTCTCTTTCTCTCAAATTGCGTTTACCCTTCGATAAAGTGAGACAAAAATAAATAAATCAGTGGCGCTACAACCTGTTTAGGTCTTGGCCTCAGATTTGAATCTGTTTCATGATCATTTTTTTTTAAATCTAATAAGCAAGTAGGTGATCAGTCTCCAATGCCTGACACACGCCGTCGACTTTTTGGGTCTAAGACATGTCGGTTTCCTCACGATGATTTCCTTCACCGTTCGGTCAAATGTTAAATGCGCACATAGAATGAAAGTCCATTGGTGCACAGCCAGGAATCGAACCTACGACCTGAGGTATGAGAGTCGCACGCTGAAGCCACTAGGCCAACACTGCTCGATAAAGTGAGACACTAAAAAATAATTGACTTAAAATGACTTACTGATAGTCTCCTTCTTGACATCTGGCTGTGCGTCCGCAAACTTCTTCAACAAATCTTCGGCCAGCGACTCCGCGTTGTCGCTGCTACCGCTCGTTTCACTTTTCGCAACCTGAAACGTAGTGATTGTTATCAAAGTGTCAAAAAATCACATCTTAAGCCTAAAACCTGCCGCCATTATGGATTAGGGGAAAGGGAAGGGATGTTACAAACCGTCCGCGCTCTCGCCGCTTGCGATAACCGGTACTGAGATAATAACTGTTGCATCATGGCCTGAAACAAAACATTTAAGTTTCATTAAAGTACTGACCGCAAAAAAACCTAATCAAGAGCTACTTACAGCTATTTTAGATGAGTGATAAGAGATTTCAATGTTTAAGAAGTTTTATTTCACCGTAAACACAATCAAAGTACTTGTTGGTGCGGAGACAGATTATGCGAGTTCCTCTGCAGGTGTTGTAGCGTTTGCAGCTGGTGCGGCGTAAGTGGCGGCGCCTCTTCAACTGCGCTACTGCTTCCGCTACTGCTACGCTTTCCAGGGTAGGGGGGTGGAGCTGATTTGGGCGCGCGAGATGACATTTCAGCCGATATTGGAAGATTCCACGCTTCCTCTATAGATGGCAGGGGGCGGCGTCTGGAATTTCAAATGAATTAATTTACTAATAGAAATAAATGAAGTTGTTATAAATCATAATATATCCATTTCTTAGACAATTCATTAAAAAAATCGACTTATAAACTCATCATCTGGCTGTTCATAAATACCATTTCAAATAAGACCTATTCAATTGCACGTGCCTTTGTACCAAATACAAATAATTTAAATTAACTCTTGACGTAAGTCCAAGGTTATATTTAGTAGATTTTTTATATTATACGCTTATCAACGGACAATTTGCATACCACTAATTAACAAAAGCGGTTCGCTTTTTGTTTTAGAGAACTCGCTTGGGCGACAATTAACATTCGTTAACTTCACATATGAAGATAAATAAAGCCTCGATAAAGATTTATAATTATAATTCACGGCTTCGATATCCACACATTGTGTGTTTGGTAGATGTTTCTTACTTAATTTGGTCTTCTGGTCATTTTTGAGTACCTATGCCTACAAATCAAACAATTATTGTATCTATATATAATTATACTTTGTGTGGGCCTAGGACTGCTGGTTGTTAACAACGATAATATAAAATGAATAACACTAAGAATGATTTATGGAACGCACATCTTAAACCCTATTAGATATGCAAACAAAATGAGCAAATAAACAGTATGATTAAGGGTATTTTTGGTTTCTAAACACATTTAAATATTATAAATGCATCAACAAAACTATTATTTACTACTTGCAACCTTTCGAAGTGATAGATTTAGCAATTGTTTCAAGGATAACGTCGGAAGCAAACAAGGCACAGGCTAAAAAAATGACGATTGTTATCAATTATAGTTACCTGAAGTTCTACTAATGACATCAAATCAAAGTCAAATTTTAAGCTGAAAAAATGACTTATAGCTTATTGTTTACGTAGGAAGCCTCATATGAAATGGGTCAGTTATAGTTTCAAGCTTAGCGAAATATGTTACGTGGTAACTATGCGGCCATTGCTACCCCTGCGCTGATTAGCTGATGTTTGTTTACCGTATAATTCTTACATGCGCATAGTTATAACATTCCTCAATAACCCAGTCGGAGATTCGTTAATAAAATAAAGATATATGAAGATAGATAAATAGATTTTAAAATTAATCTTATTGAGGAATTTCAATGCTTATAAACAGTTTTAAAATAAAAAAAATTTTAAGAAATGGCAGTAAATGTAAATTTAGAAGCATATCTTTTTCTTACTGACATTCACTAAGTTACCTACACGAATAAATTATATTTTTACTATAAAAATAAACAATTAAAAAAGGTACTGACTTGCCAGTCACAGAAGGCATAGGCGCGTGCGCGAGGTGAGCTCTTAATGCGGCAAGACGATGTCTTAGTGCAGCACTGGAGGCTGTAGCGGCCGTCCCACCATTAGTATAGCAGGCGAAGGCATCACGTGGCATTTGACAGCTTTCGTACAAACTTCCAAGGTTAGTCCAAGCAGCTGAGTGCCCTTTATCCAGTTGTACGGCGCAAATGTAAGCTTGAAGCGCGTCCATAGGCTGGTTCTGTTGCTGGTATAGCACCCTATGAATGACAGAGTTATTTGCATTATTAATTAAACACGTTTGTATGGCCACGAATGATGCATATTCATATTTATTCCTGTGGTTTTGCAATCCCAAAAGTTTCGTGTAAACTCACAAACTTACACCTAGATATACAATAAAAGAACTATAAACTTTCCTCACTCATTATGCATGGGAATAGCCCATGGGTATTGAATAACAAATTCCGCAATAAGAAATTACCCATAGTCAAAGTGAAGGAAAATTATTTCTTATAATTAAGATACAACGTCGAAACGGATACAAGCAATGTGATTGAAATTTTTATTACGATACATCATTCTAAAAACGTTCAGCAACACGGTCATAAATTCTAAGCAAATATATTCATTCGTACATCTATAAGCAACACACGGTACGCGATTTATTCCAAAAGCATCAATAACTGTTGATATCCTTCGTATACGTCCGTTTTCCTATCTTGACACATCCGCTCTTAATTCTATTAAAACATAAAAATTAACTCGTGGGAAATAGAACTCATTATTATTCACATATGTTAGAAACGTACCTTTCCTGTGTTAGAAAGCATCGCCAATTTTAGTACGTGTTTGAGCAGCATATTTATGTCTAAGCACGAAGACGAAAAAAAGGTAGTACTACACACTTTTTCGCACTGTATATTCTTAAGGATACATCTCTTAGTATCAAGCCGAAGGCACTATGTCCAAGAAAGAACTGTTTGGGAGACGCAAGACCACCTAGTAGCAATAGTGAAACCGATGTTTCTGTATCCAACCCATACCCCGACACACATATCAAGTTAGAACACGTATAAATAATGACAATTAAATAAAATATAGAATGTACTAACCCAATGGAGCACCACGTGTCTGCGTTGCCTTCAGACTTTTCAACAGAGTTGCGGTAGGCGATGAATGCATCGTGAACTTTCCCTTGCGCAGCAAAACATCGCCCTAGAAGGTAAAGTCCAGCACCAGAATCGGGTTCCGCTACAACAGCTCGCTGAAGGCACCATACTGCAGCACGGCCTCTTGCTGCAGCCTCTTCCAATGACGCGCACCGGTGATACAACCACCCTGCATGAAGCATAAATAATGAATTCTTTCTTCGAGGCGCAAGTTAGTCCTTGACTAACAAGCTCTAAGACAAAAGAATTGATAGTCATATGAATATATATCTTAATCAGATACACAGACATCACAAATTCAATAATCATAATTTTAAAAGACTTTCTTAGTGTGTCGATACAGTATAAATACTATACATTCTACCCAAAACAACCCTTTTTTTTGATATGACATCTTTTGTGATATGAGGGCAACATTGTTATTAATAATCCAAGTGTAAATGACAAAATAGCATTTAACTTTTTTGTCAAATGCTATTTTAAAGTAAATAGCATATTCTGCAATGATCTAACAATTACAAGTAGAACTTGTACACAATCCATTGTTCTCAACTTGTACACGTTAAGGCATGACTGACGCGTCCCAGAAGCCTGTACGAGGGCAATGTTTGTTTACAGAACTTTATTATCAATGTTAGCACATTTCTTTCATTTCAACGCTCGATCCGTTCGTGTAGCATTAACTACGTTCCCACGCGATCATTCTTGCAACACATTCTTTAGTCATAATAGGTACTGTATTGCGGATTACGACTCCTAAGGTTTGCCACATCCGTGTCAAACGTGTAAAATTAACTCAAAAGACTCACCTAATTGTCGACAGACGTCCGCCTTCAGACTAGTCGTAAGGTGCGGCTCTTTCAGCAGTCGCTGGTAGGCGTCCCTCGCCGCCTTCTTGAGCCCTCTGGCCTCCAGTAAATGTGCAGCGTGGAAGCTCATTTCCAACCTGGTGAATGTGGCGTCCTGGTGTGGGGCTAGCTTGGCTCTTCGGAAGTGTATGGCAGCGGCGCCCCAGTGCCTCCGCGCCTTGAACATGAGGGCCAGCCGCAGGTGCGCGTCCGCCGCTCGCGTAAACCCCGGCGACACGTACAACGCCATTTGAAGCGCCTTCGTGGCCCTAGTGTAGAAAACCCACCACCCTTGTAAGCATGCCACATCAAACGACTACAACCTATTCAATGAGTCATTTAAGATCTTACTTATTTCTTAAAACAGAAGTAAATAGAAAGTCAAAAATTCATTCATGAAAGACTACCATAATATAGTTTAAGGACGCAAAGATAAATGGCCGTTGACCTGTAAAACCTAGGTCAAGGTTACGTTCGAATGAACAAATAAAAAGCGCAAGAATAATAAACATGTTTGCGCGCAGTTTTGATAGTATTACCGATGCTATCACACACAATGATTTTTAATCTTTTGACAACTCTAAATTTAGCAAGATAATAATTGCGATTGCGTAAAAAACTCGAAAGTCAGGACCGGGTATTGCCTCGTCTGCTCTTGAACGTCCTTGGAGGTCAGACAATCGGTTAATAGAACATTGCCACCTAGACAAAGCACTGACATAAAAACAAATCATGTTTAAGCTTCGTAATGCAAAGTCCACACCCAAACTTCGAGAATATTTCAATGCAGTATTTTTTGCTTAATGGTTCATTCTTTACAAATACGTTCCGCACACGCACTGGCACCGAATGGTAATGTACTGAATACCGAATGGTTTTTTAGTCCTGACTATCGAAATCAAAAATCTTTTGTGATTGATCTAAGACTGCATGTTATAAGAATCGAGGGTTTTGGTTGAATGGGTTCTTTTCAATGAAGAACCAGGTATGTAGGGAGACAATGAAATGCGCGAAGTGTAGAATCATCTCAACTACGCAGTTTGTTGAAAGAAGCGAGAGGCCGGTAACATCCGTGGTCCCTGGTCGTGGCGGAGCGCATCACCGAAGCGGAACGTCACCGATGCGCCCGTGGGGTCAATGCCCGTCTGAGGCTCATTCGTGCAATCGATCGGACGATGCAACAACGCAACGTCTAGACAGCGATCGCGTTCCGAATCGGAGGCATTCGGGTATAACTTTATTTAGATGACCTCTGCTGACATTTTCGAGCCGAAACAAAGGAGTGAGGCAGGTGGCGTCCTGTATGCGATACCACCAACAACATTTAATAGCGTGCACATACGCACACACGTGAAGATCGCGAACGTAAGGGAGCTTTCACATGACAGGCCTAACCTATAGCCTACCTATAAAATCAAACGGTTAATTCATTAAAATCTTAACTCTCCATTAATTAAACATAATGTGTAGGTACTTCTATTAATAGCAATTGAAGAAGCCGCAAAAACTTCAATTTCTCAATAAATCTCATAAACAAAAGAAACTTTTATAAAATTTCCCAAAACATTACGTCATAACAAAACAAAACAATTATAAACTTTAGCTATTTTCCTTTGTTGACGAGCTAACTTTTCTGTAATTATTTCTTCATATTTATTCCAAGCTCCGATTGTATAACAAATATTTATGATATACCTTATTCAAGTTAGTCGCCAGTTCCGTTGTCTTAAACACTGCGATCGCATTGTGTAAGCCCGACAGGTTTGGGCCAAATGCATCTAAAAAACTTCAAAGGAGGTTTTGTACTGCCACCACGGTCGCTGGACATTGTTCTTACGCTTGCACGCTTTATTAAAGATCAATGTTTACGTTAAATGAGCCCAGGACATAAAAGATAAGGCATGGTCTGTCCGATAAAAAACCAGTTCGTTACACCCTACTGGCCCGATTTGACACAAGAAAAAATAGATACCTAGAATCTCCTCATCCATTGTGTTTAATAGTTATTTTAAATTTATTTTAACTTTCGTAAACGTCAGGTTGATGCACTCACGATATTTATATAAAATATGTTAAACATGTTTTCGATACCTTTTCAAACATGTGTGGGTTGTTATTTATTCGTATAACGACGTGAATTAATGTTATGCAAAAAGTTCTAGAAGATTCAAATGTATTTCACCTGGAGCAAGGGATTAAGTCGGGCCTGCTACCTGCCACCAAAAACGAGGAATATATGAATACCTCAGGTACGAAATTATAGATTTACATTATTGTATTGTAACTCGGTTAAAACGCACAACAAGCACCTGGTTGTGTATTCCATTCTTATTTTTTTACATCATATTTTATACACACGGAAATAGTCCTAGAAAATTATACCATTTCGCTAACAACAGAAATGATGGCAGCGAGTTTTGTATAAAAATGCGTCACCATTTCACGAGCATTTCATCTGTATCGTCGGAACAGAAGGCGTTGCTAGGGGGCGAGAACGGAGGATGGGGAGAGGTGCAGCACCGGGATGAGGCTTGGCCTGACCTAGTTCTGCGCACTCGCGTTAGCTCAAGGACGGATCGACCGCAATAAATAGTTCTTTCGTCGTCCGTCATAGCAAAACACTGTCAAGCAGAGCGAGCCATGTGCCACGACACGTGATCCTAGAGGCCTAATGAATGACGAACATTTCCCACGGTGCTAAGCAAAGGGGAATGTTAGTTAAGTAATAATAACACACTTCCCTATTAACACGAGGGATAGAAAACAAGATTGACCGGGTCACGAAAGAAATGGCGAGGTCATTTATGTCATTTGAGCTTTATTATGAAACTGCAAAGTATGTTTTGAATTATGAATAAATACCTCCAATTTGCTTATTTTTGTTTCTAAATATTGATAGTTTTTTTGCGAATATATTAACAATAATACTGTGTTATCACGCGATACATTCAAAAGGCATCAATATGAGTACAATTCACCTGACCAGATTGCATCACGGCCTTGGTGCCACGGTAACTGAATGCAACGCCAGCTGCATTTAAGTTAGCTCATGTAACTATTCAAGTTTATTGGAATTGTGCCGTAAACATGTACTTGCATTCTACACGGAATTACAAACAATTATTCTAACTTTCAATATTTCATGGTTATAACGTTATCGATAACAATAGGATTTGTTATTCGTGGCCTTGAATATCTAACCCCATATGGCTTAGGATTTTTTCTTTAGCCCACCTGGCGTATGCAGCAGGGTGTTTAAATAAGTCGGGACTGAGACTTAAATACTTGTGACAGATTCAATCATTGTAGTGATACTATAAAAAATTTGCTTTATGCTTCGTTGCTACTGAGAGAAAGTCGGTAAAGATTTATTTCGTTGCCTGGCTTTATGGATGTAACAATATAATGTTTAATACAAAACAATATGCAGTTTACACGGTATTTTTACAACCACGTAATTTATTTTTATGGCCTAAAGATCGTTTGGAGATAGTTGCCAACGCTTTTTAGCTCAAGTACGTATTCGATTTACATAAAAATAAACTAATCGTGATTTGAACAATTTCTAACGTTTTCCGCAATATAGCAGTTAACATGAAAACTTTCTACATTCGTGTAATAAATGCTTCATCAATTATAACTATTACACGTAGAACAATAAAGCCGCAATATTGCTGTGAGCAAAGCAAAATATTTTCACAAACAAAATACATCCGATCCCTGTTTGTTTACAGACATTTTAACAGACCTTGAACTATTTTCGCGTCTGAATTTCCAACTACAATTTTCACTTTTATCCGGCATCGGACCAATTGCAAATAGCCCAAATGAATGGCATTTTATCGATATTGCTCTGGTATGTGTAGCTCTGGTTACTATAGTAAAGCGCACTAACGTTTATTGCACAAATTGATAATGAACGAGCGAGGGCTCATTTATCGCTGCCGTCATACACGTTGACCTACTTTCGTGCGATTCGATACCACTCACTATATGTATTATCTTATATGTTTCATCTATTTTAGATTATGACTATTTCAACTTCATGGCTACAGTTCCGAGCAATTCCGTGACCTGTATATATTTAACGTCTCTGGTCCTTGGTCGGCATCAAATTTAGAATACTAGTGTTTTTCTACTATCATAGAGTAAAGATAGATAGGTAGAAACTAACGGAATAAGCGCTGGATTATTGAATTGAAAGACAGTAGTTTGCATCAAAGTAAGGAAACATTAGACATGACCGGTTATTCTGCCTGCGGTCGCTGAACACGTAGAGGCCATCCTTGCGGTACTTTAGGCTGAGGTTACGTACTTACAGATAGTAAATACGATTTTGTGCCGTATACACACAAATACATTTGTTTAAGTGCAATACATTATGAACACAGGCCATTTAAATTATCAGGGTTATTAATATACACTTTACTAGGATGTCACATGTCCATAGAGCACGTGTAATTATGAAAATAACATTGTATTGTATATAGAGGTGATACATAGATAGGCGAGGCCACGCAATGAGGAAGTGAACAAAGTACAGCTGCATTCTGATCCAGTACTAGAAATGCACGTCTGATGCGCTTATAAAAAGCAACAATTCTACAGTATTTATAATCAAACTGGTTTCTAGAACTGCCTTATTATGTTTAAAACAACAGATTATCGCATACGTCCGCTGCTCATTGTGGGAAAAAGTTATATAGAATTTTTTATGTGGTCGTTAAACTAACATTATTCTGTTTCCTCGATTTAAAAACTAACTTTAAATGTGATTAAAATATGCAATACGATGTCCCCTTATAAACTGTACAACTGTGCTATTATTACATAACAAAATAGAGTGCCCTTGACGACTTCCCTGCAGCTCGCGGTGTACAAGTGTTCTAACAAGTCCAATAGATATTTACATGCAGCAAAATTAAAAACTATACCCCATCCCTAACATTGCGATTTAGAAGGGTTGAACCCTTTGTGAAAAATTTTGAAGCCATCGTCGTCGGAGATTGTTCGTCTATACAATGGAGAGGGCACTGGCACATACGCGCATGAAACTTGGTATTTAGTGATTTTGTTGGGGCCCAGTATCGCGGGTCGGGGGACGGGGCGAGGTTATCGTTCAATAGTGACGTAATATTGTGGCGCAACAGCCGACTCGTTCCGAGCGGAGCCCTTCCATTGCTCCCTTTTTGTGGTCACCGGCCGCTTTCTAATAACTATTGTACACGTTCACATGCTGACTAAATAACT